ACACATAGTATTAATAATTAATTTTTAAATTACACTAGTACTCCGTTTGGTAGGAAGGATGAAAAGTAGGAACACTACACTTTCTATTCTTTAATGATGAAAAATAGGAAATATATACTTTCTTTCATTTGTGTTTGGTTGGATGGATGGAAAATAAAAATATATATATTTTTTTGTGCTGATTAAAATTAGGGGTGACAATCGAGTCGTGTCGTGTTAAATTCATGTTGAGTCATTACGGGTTTGTGTCGAATATTAGTCAAATTTAACTTAACTCATTTAACTAATTGTGTCGTGTCGAATTGACCTGCTTGTACATATATATTTTATCATTGTATTTTTATATGAAATTATTGTATACATAATATATGTATATATAAAAAGATATATAGACAAATAAGATACATCTCAACACAAATAATTAACTTACTATCCACTTTTCTTTTGATTTTGGAGAGATTGATTTTGGTGAGTTGGAAGGAAAGTTAATTCATCCACTTTTCCATTCATCCTACATTCATTCTTTACCAAACATGATGTTTTATTTATCCCTCCAACTTTCCATCTTTTCACTTTTTCATCGTACAAAATGGAGCATAAGTAAGTGTGTATTATGTCTATTTATTATTGTTGTTCTAAAATTTGTCAAGACTGACAAAAATATTTTAATTGATATGCAGTTTTCAGGTAATTGATTGGAATTAGTTCAAATGTTTTGTTTTAAAACTTCCTTAGATGAAAAAATAATGGACAATCATATTGTGCAAAGATGAAATGACTTTGATTATAAAAGATTGAATAAATAACTTTAATTACAACACTAACTACTTTTTAAAAATCATCTAAAATTACTCCTCATAATACCTAGATCGTGAGGTTTTTGGGGATTTGAATGTATCTTTATCGTCTCCATTAAATGTTGTTTTTTAGCGATGACGATTTTGCCCCTGTATTAGGAACTCTTGAATAGTTATTTCTTCCCTTTCAATCGTGATTGTAACTGATCATCTCTCTTATTTCTTCAGATTCTATCATGGGATACTTTCTCAATGCATTTAGAATGTCAAATGTCAATGCACTGAATATTCTCAAAATTTTTATATTTTAGATCCAAACAATTATTATATATAATTAATTAATAATATAACATTATAAATAATAACGTGACATCACTAATGTGTTAAATATTTTTAGCACAAAATCGATGATGGTGATGATAACTTTGTACATGATGCTTTGGAATTAAGAGAGTATTTAGGGCATATATCTATGTACTTCTTTTCTATTGCTAAGTAATGGTTGTGACATAACGGTTTTGGCATATATATGTTTGTCTTTTACGAATGTTAAGAACATTACGTGGGTGGACAATTATCATCCACAAGCGAATTACTTTGAAGTTTTTATCCAAAAAGGTTTTACTTGATATTTTTATCGTCATATATTAGATTATTTAATTTATTATGTATTCCGTATGTTAAAAAATCAATTCAAAGTTTCATCATCTGTCTTTTTTAACTGAATAGATTGATATAGACAATTTAAGAGTTGCAGATAAGATCATTAGTTCACTACTGAATTTCATAAGTACTCTCAGATCAATCGTATCTTGCTCCAGACGAAGGTGTAGGCATATTCTGCTATTCGAAATGCAGTTACATTTAGAATGGAGTTTCCTGCTTGTCTTAAACTCTTTTTTGAGGATTCCATAGCAATCAGTACGGAATCCAGATACAATTTTGTGGTAAGCTTGCCTGCCTTGGACACCATTTTGTGCATACGATGATCCCTGTCCACGGTTCAATCACTAATACGATGAGTACATTGTCGCGTCGGTCGGTAGGAGGTGTCATATAGACTTTAAGGTTTGAGTAATTTTTCGTCTAACAAAAACTTTTGAATTACGTGACTATGATAAGTGATATGAAAGTAGAACTTAGTATATCACAATCCTATCAGCCATGTGATTGCATTGGGATACTAAAGTCGAGATAGGCCTGGACCACACGGCCCCCTCTTGATGTCGACAACCAACAAAAGAACGTGGGAGTGGTGGATTTACTGGCCAGCCGTGATTGTACAACAGTTCGGAGGGTAGGATACATTGAAGCCAATGGCCCTGGCTTTTTGGCGTACTGCGTTCACACACATCATAATCAAGATATTTGAACTTGGTTTATGAACAATTTGATTAGATAAAGATGCTGTAAACCGCTATAACCCACTTCCTGCCTATGCAAAAGCAGTTAAGTGCAAGGACGTCAGAGCATAGGATCAGCTAGACGCATTGCAGACGTTTATGGGTCTAATGTGTTTGAGGGCCAGGTGTGCTTATACGTGCGAGAAGACCGGATGGCCCATTAATACCTGAATTTGGGTTGGTTTGGCTCAATCATGTTTCTAACCTGAACCAGTCTAGATGACTCCTTGGGCACTTTTGGACAAAGCCCAGTCTCGATATGTTATGATTTGGACAATTGTGGTCTAAGTCCAAGTCTCTATGTTTTAGACGTATGGCGTCGCCGGAGATTGGAAGTGAAGTTGAGTCCGGCGATCGACCGACGACGGAATCGATGCACCAGGTTTGCGAGCTCTGGTTCTCGTCCTCTGCCTCCACTAATCACTACCACGTGCTTGTCTTCGCCTCCGATTCGTGAGTTCTCTTCTCGCCAAAACCCTCTCTCTCTCTCTCTCCTTGTATACTCAATTTTGTGCGTGTACGTTTGTCTGATCATAGAAATTATTCAGTTTTACAGCTTGAATTTTGTGAATTATTGCTCAATTTTACGAAGGTATTCTTACTACGTCTCTGTCTATCACTCTATGCGTGTGTACGCTGAGTTTTGAAATTTGCTGCTCTCAGTTTTGAATAATAGAACAATTTGCAAATTTCGTTAAAAAAACTTCTTGAAACGATAGACAATGACATTAACAAGCTTTACGTAATCTGATGATAGAAATGGACTTCCCATTATCTGTTTTTTTCTTGATTATGCATATTTTTTTATTTCTTCTTCATGAATTCACATGATATTTCTCAGTAATGATTACCCAATTTTACTTCTTACAAGTGGAAATCCCTTATTGTTTGTAGACTGAGATTTGAAAGAACACTTCACAAGAAAAGGGAAGAGCACTTGTGCTCTAATATAATTCTGTGAAACCAGGATTGTCATTTTAAGATCGATGTTTTTCCTTGTGTTTCAGTTCTTCTCCGAAACTAGAGCTAGAAACGCCTTATTTCGATTTGTTCCCGTTCTGCATTTCCTTCTTCTCGAATGACTTTCATTTTAAGCTTGAATCTCCCTTGTGGCCTTAAGCTCTCTAAGGTTTCTATCTCTCTTTCATGGATGTTCCTAAAGGTGGTTGAATGGTTTGTCAGATTTAACAACTACAAGGACCCTGCTCGGTGTTTGTATTCGATTTCCCTCAGTTCAGTGACGACTCGTTCACCTACTCTTTATCTAATAGTTTCTTCTATTTTTTTTGTATTAAGGAACTATGTATGATAGATTACTTATTAGTAAAAGGAATATCATTATTAAGATTGCTTATCAGTTTATATTTGTTAAATGATTATGTGGATGACATGAAAGATGAAAATAACATAGGTTGTCCTATCTATTCAATTGCTTTCATAAGTTAACCTCAGTTATGTTCTAATAAATGTAAAAAGAAGAATCCAACTGCCGACTCAACTGCTGGAAAGAGACAAAGCAACGATCAGAACCCACCTAGAAGTAGGAAAGGAATTGTTCTTCACGCTCAACTATTTTTTTTTAGGGTTTACGGAAAAAAAGAGCCATTTTTCTTTACAGAAAAAGAATGGAAAAAATGTTCGAGAATGTTTCAATGTGATGCCTCTACCATTTGTGTGTCTGTGAAAACCAAGTAGAATACTCATTCACACCCTAGATCATGTCTCTCTGTACTGGCAACAGTAAGCATACTTGGATGTTGACAGAAAGAGTTGTGTAGAAAGACTAAAACATGGCTTTTATAACTTAGAAACACATTCTAAATTAAGGTTACTCACACAAAAACCTTTAGAAACAAGGAAGGCAAAAGGAGAACTGAAAAAGAAGTACAAAATGTATGTTGTTACTTATGTACATGACTGAAAGCAGCCTCATTTTCTGTTATCTTTGTATGTGTATGTAAGAGCATTCATTATACTGGCGGCAATGCTGGCAACTCTGTAACATGTGACTCCACTAGTATTGACCAAAGCACATGGACGTCTTCACACGGGCAGGACTTGACATCGTCGTACAGGATGTATATCCCTCTTCCTGAGAAATGAAAGGGAAAATGCAGTTAAGTAGAAATACATAGTGGTCAAGGACGGAAAAATAGATTAACGTGGCAATGTCATGATGTAGATACATGTATGCAAGCATGTGTGTGCTTCATTTAGAGAGAGAATTTTGATTATTGTGTTCCCTAACAACTTCTTTACTATGTCTATTCTCCATGACGATCCCGGACCTTCTAAAAGTGATAAGTATGTGTTCTTTCTTGGCACTCTTGTTCTATGTTATGCCAAGGTAAAAACAGATTGGGATACATAGCTTGACTTTGAAATAGCAAATACAAAAAGAACAATGAACATATATCTATTGGTAAAACAGAGCTAATAAAATTAGAATCTAGAAGTTGGTGCTAGTACGAGATTGATTTTTATACTTATATATGCACAGACACAGACACAAACACACACACACAGAGCTTGTGTGTTATTCTAAATTCATAGTGAAACCTGGGGGAACATGGAAGAGGGAATGTGAAAGAAAAACGAAAAGAGTGATGCAGAACTGAGAAGATATTACCAATGGTTTGTGGTAAAGAGCACTGATAAACATAACAAGAGATTAGACATGTGTACTCAGGATGCAAAAACTAGCATGTAAACTTGGGAGCATTTCTTAATGGAAACACAGAAGTCATAGAGGGCATACTCTTCTTTTGAGCTGAATTCAGACGAAACCACATTTTCTTCAATGGAGAGAAGAGGGACTGCAGCCACCCCATTTGCAAAAGAAGTGGGTGTGGCTCATGGTAGGTGAAAAAATGGGAGGAAATAGGAGGCAAGGTAAGAGAGAGAAACTGCAAGTTTGCTTAGACAAGGGTGAAGTTGAGGTTACTGTTCTTCCAAACATTTATATTTCCTTGCAGGCCAATCATGCCCATCACATTTTCTCTTGGTGTAATGTCTCTATCACACCTTTTTTTTTTCTCTTGGAGCAGAAGGAGCCAACCCACCCCTCGGCAGTTCTTTTCACACTTCCATCACTTGGAGCTCCCTTCTGCCTCATAGAGCTCCCTTATTTCTCAAGCTACTTTGGGGGTGTTTTTGCAATTTTGCTGTTCTATTTGTGGGGTTTCTTGGTTATTTTGGGTCACCTCGTGAGTTTGAAGAAAACAGTCCTTTTCAAAGTCCCCGACAAGTAATTGATTCTTATTCATCTACTGGCGTTAGCCCTAGCCCAGCATGGGCAGCTCTTTCCTGGTACATGATCTGGGTCGGAACTTCGTTATCCCTCCCGTTGATATACTGATTTTTCTAATACGTATAAATAATAATAATCACAATAAGCTACTGGATTTATTTTTTAGTTAAAACTAGACAGTTATGGGTTCGGTGGTTCACATGTGACAATAATTATGTCAAATGTTAGGTCAGTATCCAATCTATTCCTCTTAGACTCTTATTAATAGGGGGACTAAACTAGGTGTTATTTAAAGAATTTGCGTAAGATTATGAGTTGGATCGATTTGAGAATCAAAATAGAGACGGCTATGGGTAAGGGGAAATTTTGTTCATCTTTCTAATAATTTGTTATGGCGTTGGTTACTTTATTTTGTTTCCTCTGCTCTTTTTGCTTCTAAATTTGTTTTTTTTTTCCTTCTCTTTTTATTCTTAGCTGCTTGTAACTTGTAAGGTACGAAGCCAACTATAGATGTGATTGGAAAGACACTTGATGGGTTTTATAATCATTCGACACAAAAGTTGTGTAGAAGCTATGGCATTTGATTTGGAACATCCTTTGTTAGTCAAATTCCAAAAACTTACGAAACACTTTGGTTGAAGTAAATGTTTGAAAAAAGTGTTGAATAATTAGCCTAATAAGCATGGTTTTGTACTTTATTTAGAAGTACAAGAATAATCTGCCGACATTTTCAACTTAATCTCAGAAGATAGAAATTATGTAGATTACTTTGGGTCAAGCACAATAATTTTTTTTAATTCCCTAATGGTAATGAGATTTGATTCTTGACGTCCACTTTTGAGTAACCCGATATTTGGTACTACAAATAAAAGAGCGAATTGTATTTTGTATCTTGAAATATTTAAAATTTATTACTTTGCATATTAGGGATAATCTATACTTGAAGACACAATGTAACATAAGTGAGAAGTGACGGATTTGACGATGGTGAAATTCAATGTGAATGATTTTGAGAGTGAAATTAGTGGTTATTAGATGAGTCTATTCAAGTCCGTCGGATAAATTTATTAAAGACTGTTCTCTTTTATATTATAGATAGATTGCAAAGTGTGGCAAAGTGAGGGGGATTTGAACATGAATTCCTACATCATCACGGGTGACACTTTGACATGGTGATAGAATCCCAGTTCTCATGAGCCAAAGTTTTTGAAGTTACTTTTTATTTTATTTAATTTTTAGAAGTTCTTTTTATATGTATGCATAAATAACTATTTTGGGCCAGGTTGACACAATCTAATGTAGTCTAGACTCAGTCCCAAAATAATACTGGGCCACACCTTATGGCGCATGCTCTGAGTTTTTTTTTGGGCTGGGCTGCCCGCCCATGGAAAACCCCACCCACCTTCATGTTAATGGACCCTACAGAGGCTTAAGCCGTACCCCTTTTGGGGTACAATAGGTGATACCATTACATTTCCGGTTAATCACATTGTTTTTTCTGGTTTTTTTTTTTTCCTGATGGATTGGGGGTTAGGGGAAGGGGTATAGGTTATGCTAGCCTTTGTGTGACTACAGCTCTAGACGTAGCTAAGGCCCTCATTCACTTTGTATTTGATTAATATTAGGATGAAATCTGTTGATGGTTGATGATCATCTGAACTACCCATTTTTTTGTCACTCCTTCTGGATTTTTTGAAATAACTAACTATTTGGTAAAAGTGTACTTTAGAAATGCTTTCGAACCAATGTCTATCTACGACTAGTTAATCATGTCTATCTACAATTAGTGTTCTGGTATAATATATTTTTGTTTGCTTACTATCTTATAATCAGAAATATGTAAATTACCTATGAAGCAAGCCTAAAACAGATATTTAATTACAAAAATTAAAGCTAATTTTAGAAAGTAAGATGGAAATTAAAAATCATTTCCCGAAAAGTACAAATAGGATAGTTTTAAGCTCTCTTAAGGGACTTTTCTAGCATGAGTATTTTGAATATGCACTTTTTGATAAGTCTAAGGGTATTCAGGTTGATTTACGTTCATATCGATTAATTTTCTTCTTGGTCCGGTCAAAAGTAGGTTATTCACGTCGAGACTAGAATATTCATGAAAGATAAATTCTTTATATTTAATATTAAAAATTGTTAAGATTTAAACTTAAGATGTCTTAGATGTCCGGTTCATTTTTTTTTATTACTTAGAATTACTTTGGGTAATGACATGCTTTTTGTAACGGTTCGTTAAAGAACAAAAGTAGTTTCAGCTGTGTCACTAAAGTCCAATCCAAAATAATATCATGCCATTGGCCGTTAGCCCCCCCTTAGCCTGCTTTATACAACGTTAACACATCACTTGTCACTTCATGTTTTCTTTTTCTATAATGCAATGACTCCACCCTAAATCCTAGTTTTGACAACTTTCACTTGATGGATTAGACGACATGGATTCAAATATCCCTCTACCAATATAAAATAAATAAAAAAAAAGAATAAAATTGTTAATCAGAGGACTATGGAAAACAGTTTATAATTTGAAATGCAATGATTAAGCTTTTGATCTTATTTGGATATGGTGGGGGTGTGTTGTGTGTGGGTAATTGAGCAGTAACTTTAGAGAAATGAGGGAGGGTGATGTTCAAATTTCGAAATCATTTTTATGTATTTTAACGTTGGTAAAAGGAGAATCCAATTTTATCCCATGCCCAACTACTTTTTTTTTTTGGTCAAACGTGTCCAACTACGTTGACGTATTGAAATTTTTATTTAATTACTGATTTATTTTGATCTCTGAAAATTGAAAAAGACAAATAAATATATGTTTTTACTTGCAATTTATCTCTCGACATTTGCAACATTCACAATTAAAATCATATATTCCCCCTTCAATTTTGCCAAATTGTTATAATGCGTCTTAATTTATACGGCGTTAGTTTTTATTACATGCCACACGCATATTATGCTGGATGGGTGATAGAGGAGAAAATATTTAGTGTAATGGTTACATCACATCAGAATTGCCACGTATTATTACTATTCAATAATAAACAGATAATGAATAAAATGAACTTTATTTTTTTTACATGAATAGTTATTATCTTATATGAATTAGATAATTATTTAACTTCGTGGGTTCACTAACATACTTGATGGTCTGTTTCCTCTCTCTTTCTCTCCCCAAGAGAATTGGGGTTGGAGAGAATCTATCACCATTTGAATGAAGGTGAAAAGGATCAGTACTAACCTTTAGGCTGGTCTAGTAATTGAGCACGTTTTTTTTTTGATAATTTAGAGGTTTTAGATTCAATTTATTTTTACGCTCTCTACGGATTAAACATCTTTGTTCTTTTGGAGACATGTTCTAGACTAGTTCAAGTTATGATAGCCAACCACTGAACTTGAGTGAATAATCGGTATAAGCTTTGTTACCAAAAAAACAGAAAAGAAAAGAAAAGAAAAGGATCCGCCGCACTAACGTCATACTGTTCTGTGCAGGAATTCTAATTTGTCAGCCAAAACTATGCTTTTGGCTATGTCTATAATTTATGTGCACACACTTTCTTTAGCTAAGAGACGAGTACTTGCTTTTGCTACTGGGGTACCTTTTTTTTTTAACCTTTTTGGGTGTGTAAATAGTGTGGCATTTTGTCGGCCGTGGATTTTGCCTTAACTTGTTTGTTGTGATTTGTAAAAAAAATAAAAAGTGTGGTATCAAAAAAATAATTTTTCAATACCGTGGTTGGACCTTCTGCTCAAATGTGACATTTGGCATTCTTTCGACCTCTATAAATCAAATTGCGGTCAATTTATAATTTTAAAATAACTTTCATCACGATATGTACATATTGTTGTACGTAAATTGATTACTCAAACGAGTAATGTTATTTGGACCAATTTATTGTTATTTATAATCATTAGATTGATATTCTCTCTATTCCTAAATATTTGTCGTTTAAGGTTTTTACATAAGGATTAAGAAGAAGCTATTAAATAGCTCTAATATGAGTAAAAAATAATTACACAAGATTAAAATATTTTTATTCAATACGTATTGAGAATGAAAGGAATATGAAAGACACTTAACCTTCACCTAATCTAATGCATTGAAAAGTTAATGGTAAATTTAGAAGAAAAAATATTTATTATGCTATGGTTTCATAAAACGACAGATTTTATGGAACAAAAAATATTGTGTAAAACGACGGATATTTAAAAACGGAAGAAGTAGTATATTACAGTATTCGTTGAGACCCGCTACCCATTAAATAATTGGGATAAATTAAAGAGTAATGTTACACCAACCAAATTTAGAGCCCAAATAATATGACAGTTGATTATTTGAAGTTTTTATTGGAGCCCAAATGACATCACACCAATCAAAGAAACTCAATTCAACTGTCATATCATTTGAACTCTAAATTTAATTCTAAAATTTGATCGATCTAGCATTACTGTGAATTAAATCATCAAATTAGATTCCATTTACTCCATAACTCAATAAAAACTCAAAATGCACATAAATAAAGGGCAGGGTAAAACGGGAAAACAATTATAGTGACTCCCGTTTCCCCGTTAGAAATCTCTTTACGGCCGTCACGATATTGACTACGTTGACTTGTGAGTCTGTTCAGATAACGGCTTCCATCACTGGCTATAAATAACCCCCTATTCTCTCTCTCACTCTGCAAAACAATCTCTCTCTCGCTCTCTCTCGCCAGTCACCACTACAAGTGCAAAAGAAAGTTTAAAATGGTTGCGTGAAGAAGAATCGTAGCATCTCTGTGTTTTTCTTGAGAGATTCCACATTTAAACAGTAGTGCTTCATGTCTTCTTGAGAATGGGAAAGAAAGATCAGATTCACCTAAATGAGAAAGACAAAGAGAGAGTTCAAGCTGTACTTGACCTTCTCAAGAATCAAGTTCCTCTTACTCCAAAACAGGTTCATATCCATCTTTCAAACTTCCACATTAATTAGTGTGTGCATATATGTATGTAATCCTACAGTTTAATGTATGTACTGTTCGTTTGTCCGGGTGTGTGTGTGTGAGAGAGAGAGAGAGAGAGTTGTGTGTGTGTGTACTGTGGGTGCAGTTTCTGAAGCATGATGTCTTCTTGACAGGAGAAGTTCTGCAGTAATGCTTGTGTTGAGAGGTTTCTGAAAGCTAGAGGGAATAGTGTGAAGAAAACTGCAAAACAACTTCAAGCTTGTCTTCAATGGAGAGAGAGTATTGGCACTGGTAGTATAGAATTACCATCAGATCATTTTCTTGTTCATTTTTCTTACATTTCGAATCTCCATTTTCAAAAAAACCACCAAATCCATATTCCACAATTAACACAGTAACTCTCTCTGTTCTCTCTTTTTTTATCTCTTCTGGTTTTGTTACAGTAAAAAATCTTACTTTTCTCCTTTAAATGAAACCCACATTGATGGTAATGATTAAAGTAAATTATCCGAAAGGAACCAAACACTCAAATCACTGTTTTTCATGTGATTTCATTACAGAGCATTTGATAGCAGATGAGTTTTCCGCCGAACTCGCCGAAGGCGTTGCTTATGTCTCTGGCCACGATGATGAATCCAGACCCGTCATGGTCTCTCTCTCTCTCTCTCTATCTCTCCATATTTACCCACAAAGTTCAACCACTGAACACATTCTGTAATTTTTTTCTTAGATTTTCAGGATGAAGCAAGAGTACCAGAAATTCCATTCCCAAAAACTGTAAGTTCATCTGTGTTTTTCTGTGTAATATGCATGTATTATTCATCTTTGATAATACTAATTTAAATTTAATTTTATAGGTTTACTCGTTTGGTAGTGTTCACACTGGAGGTGGCAATCCAAACTATGCCCAAAAATGTTGAACAATTTGTTCTTCTCTTTGATGCAAGTAAGTTCCTTCACCATGACCAAATTGCCCTTCTTTTATTCTTTATGGAATTTCGAACTGTAGGGTAATTGGGTCATTTTAACTCCTTCCCTCTCACCAAATCCGGTCACAGCTTTTTCTCAGTAGGAGCAGTAATCAATGTACATTCCGTTCTGGGTACTCTCCAGACTTTACGTTCAGGTTTTTTTTTTTTTAATGAGATATTAATGAGGGACGACGAGATTCGAATTAACGATCTTAAAATTTAACATCGGAGGCGGTGGTCATTAAGTGAATCGTTAACCTCGACTTTCCATTCAGTCTGCAAAAGCCCCAAACCCTGCCTTTTTCTTGCACTTTATGGCTGGCCATTCTCTCTAATTCCCAAAGTCACGCCTAACTACTTAATTAATGAGTAATTGATTAACTAATCCATGATGGTGACTGTGCCTGTACTACGTTGCCTCCAATTATTCATAAAAACCATGTCTGAAAACCGGCAAGGTCCAAAACTTATTCAGAAATTGCCCGGAGTGCACTTGTGCTGTAATAGTCAAGGATTGTGGAGAGTTTTGACAGGTCAATCCGAACAAACATGACGTATAACTAAATAATTCGAATCTAAGTTGAACTCGAATTGTAGTTTTACGATTTGAGTTGAACTCGAGTTGATCTGAATTCACTTAACTTGAATTGCACTGTGGGGTATGTGGGTTCATTCTCCTATCTCCATTATACTGTGCAAAAGTGCTTAGAACTCTACTTCTTCTATTTCAAAACTTAGAACTCAAATTTCAAGCGTAGTTCAAATAGTAATAGTGACGAACTGTAAATTCAGACGTCTTGAATTCGAATTTTGGTAATCTCTTGGGGTCTAATATCGGCATAGATGACTTGTCTTTGATCGAACTGAAAAAGAGATTAATCGAGATACACGTAAATTGGCCAAAAAATTCTCCACTGTTGAAAAAAAAAAACTCACAACTAAGAAAACTATCCCCCACAAGGCAACAGTAATTTGAATTTTCTTTAGCTTGTTTGGAGTTTGATTGCTTGGTAATTATTGCTGGTTTTTGTGACTGAGGAATATATTTGGGTGGTGTCATCCAGGCTATTTCAGGTCAGCATCAGCTTTTATGAACGTGTTGTTGGCAATACTGAAGATCATATCCGAGTACTATCCAGGCCGGCTACGCAAGGCATTTATCATTGACCCTCCCTCTCTCTTTTCCTATCTTTGGAAGGTAAAGTTCTAAACTTAGCCTCATTTAGTTAACCCTTTGCACCTCTAACTTCAGCTGTCCTGCATAGAGTGCACAGTCCAACTTGAGGTTTCTTGTACTCAAGTATGTGTGTGTGTAGTACAATTGGTCATCCATTTGAGCTGGTCATGTCTAATGTGAATGTGTATGTGTGTGTGTAATTGCACATGTAAAGATGGGCACGGGTTCAAACTTTTTTTCAATTTTACTAATCCACCGCACCTTCCACAAAACTTGAAAGATGTGATAGAATAAATAATGTCATTATATCGCAGACGGTGAAATACCATTTTATTACTTTTTCATATTTAAGCAACTCTCTTGATTTACACACTAACAAATGCAAAACAAAAGTAATAACTCGAGGCGATAATTTTGAGTGTTGATTTATCTGATTGTGAATCTAAGTTGGCTATACAATGCGGCCATCATTCCACTTCAAATTACTTTCAACATTGTCCATTACATTAAGTGATTATTCATCAAATGTTTGGTTTCTTATTGCTATATATTTTTGGTTGTAGGGAGTTGGGGCATTTGTTGAGCTATCACCATTAACCATGGTGGTATCATCATTTGACTATGAAGAGTCACTGTACTTCAACGACTCCACAACTTATCGACGGGCCTCATCCCTCCGATTCGACCCCTCATCGGTACCATCAACGGCCAAGGTTGGCTCATCCTCTTCCTCTAGGTTTTCCTTCACTGTCTCCCACCACCATGACTCACTCAAACCATGGTACCTTAACTTGACCGATACATCAGCATCAAAAGTAGGCCCCATCACACCCTCATCAAGCATACTAGGCCCAGCTCTGATCTCACCCGTCAATGCCCGTTCCCTCTCATTTGCATCACCCATTGCCAGGAGGCCATGTGGCAACATCAAGACCGCTAAGAAGGGGTTCTTCCCATCAACACCATTGCCACAAAAGACCCAAAAATTGGACCCCTCAACCATCAACTATCCAAGGACTCCAAGACCATCATTCCTTCAATCACCAGCCTCGTTCTTCAGGAAGGAGTGCCACATCATCAGAGTTGACAAGTGTCGAGAATCGTTTGTGCCCTTTTTGAGGTTCTATCGACGGCCGTACGATGAGATGACTTACAGGTCAAAGATGAAACCCCCACTAGGTGGCCTCATCTCCATCGTTTCTCCCCACGTCAAGAGCTGCGGCCACATGTCTGCCTCTCAACGGTTTTGACTTGAAAAAATACATAACATTTTAGAAAAGACTTTACAATTAATGATTAATTATTTATTTATTTCATAATTCCAATGTCAAAGGAAATTAATGGTGCTCCTAATACATTGATTTTGATCGGAAATGCAAATGTGGGGGGACTACATAGACAAATAGACTACGTGGTAGGTGGGATGTGAAATAGTGTACAACATGTCTGATTTTGTTTTATGTGGTGGTCTGAGTCTAGGGTTTTGGAAGAACAATGCATGGGAACAAGATAGCGTAGTCGAGACGGTGAACATGGCATGGGAAATCATTTATGTGCTTACCCTTCCAAGAAGATCAAATTTATAGATTCAAATGGCCATAAGCCCTTTGTGACACACTGGTATTATTTTTCATCCCCAAGCAAACGGATTGAGCTCGGGTGTGATTTGGGGTGTTAAAATATGATCCGATCTATTAACACGACAAGAAATTAGAGGGTTTGAGTCTTTCTTAAGTCACTCATTTAATAAACGAGTGAACTCGACAAGACACGATTAATAAACGAATTAGGTATAGATGAAGATAATTAGAAAAAATATACGACACTACTCGTTTATATACCAGTTATATATAATTCATACATGACACGAACTTGATATGACACGATTCATTAGACATAATTAATAAACAACTCAAGTATGTGTAAAGTATTTTTAACATGAATTTGTTAAGATTTGACATGAAATCGCCCCCTCCCGATCCGATTGACAGGCTTAAGTATGATGAATACTACTATAGTTACTAAAAAAGTTTTATCAATTTTTTTTTACCAAATCAATGCAAACCGTTAGATCATAGGAGCAGTGGGTCTCCTCTCTCATCCAATAGTTCACATTATTTTGGTAAACTAATTTGATAAATTTTTTCGGTAAACACATCTTTACCGATCACGTCGTTAAGGTTAGTGTTTGGAGTTTTCTCTTTGTTGGTTATGGTGGGTTTAAAAAAGAGTCTCTTTTACTTGGTTTTTTAGTTCTGATGAAACACAAGGGAGGAAAGATATGGAATGAGCTAAAGCTTCTGCAAATGGTTTGCGATCCATGGGAGAACCCGTTAGCCTGGTGGCCCACTAGGCCATGGGTTGGACCAGTCTGCCACATGGTAGCTTGTGAACAATGTTTGTCCAATGAGCTGTCATTGGCGTGGTTTTAGGCTTCGTTAGGCCCGACAGACTAACCCACGACAGTGGCCCGGGCCAATCACATTATCCCAGGTAGGTTGTTAATTTCATGTGTATTAGATCCCTGCACATTCTGGTATTTAGGATCAGCAGTTGGTCTGATGATGACCGTAGCCCGTCTTTGGACCATTAGATTGCGACCTCAAACTTCACCGCCCCGTCCCTATAAAATTAAAAAAAAAAGTTCCAACATGAAGTCCCTTAGATCATGATAATCTATCGGTGAGCATAACTTATAAGGGTAGTTCGGATGGAAAGTTTTAGGGATTACTGCTAGAGGTCCCAAGTTTGACATAACTTACCTAAGAAGTAGCCCACAATGACATTGTGGCATATAGAGAAAAAAAAATTAACATCTCTTAGACTGTTGATGTAGAGAAGTGGGAGTGTTAATCGAGACGAGTTACTCGGGTTCGGCTTAGATAAAACTTGCCTTGAACACGACTCGTGTTTTAAACGAGTTGATATTGAACTATTTTTTAGGCTCGTTTAAAAATGAGCCTAAAAGACTCCGCTAAAGTTCATAAAATTCGGCTCGTTATATGTAAATTTGTTGAGCTACTCAAGTTCGGCCCGTGCTCTGGTTAGGCTCAAGTTCTAAACTAGCCGAAGTTGAACAATTTTTTAGGATCATTTAGAAAAACAAGCTCATCAGACTCAGGTTTAAACTTGCAAAACTCGGCCCGATTAATATTCCAATAGAGAAGTTGGAAGTTGGAAGTTGGAACTCTACCTCATGGGTTTTCAGACTGATACATGAAGCTTTTTTTATTGAGAACCTACAAAATTTTTTGAGGTTTATTCTTACATTGCAGTCTAACTCGCCATTTTGTGTGGATCTCGACTACTTGATGTTCCATACACAAACCACTTTTGTTGGCCAGTAGTGAGCCCACTTCATTTTGGTTTGTGTGTAGCCAAATCTACATTTGGTGGCCCAAAATTTATTAATAAGGAAACTGTTTCAAGTTTAAAGGATTTATATTAGATCATAGCCTCACCAATATATAGATATGGCCATTAAATATAGGACTGTGTCAAACACACCTCTAGCTTATGATGTTACTACTTACCAGCCTTTTTTTTTTTTTTGGGGGGGGGGGGGGGGGGGGGGGCGGGGGTTGGCAGAAGATGATCAACTTCCTTAAAGTGCTTTACCTAATTGGTATAATTAACAGACAATAACTTCATTAGCCAGCATAGTCTATATGGATGGTTGTGCAGTAATGAAAGTGTTACCAATTGATGGCCAGCATGCAGCATTTGTTTTGTACAAAGCTTTCCTAATAAGTTTGCATTGCATTACCGACGATGTCATACACACACACACATGTATACATACATTGCTCGTACTATTGAAATGATCAATCATGGTTGAGATGTTTCCGTATGTTGCTTTTCTTCTAATGGTACTATGACTCCTATTTCTATCTTTTCATTCCCTCTTTTAGTCTATCAATATTCTGAAAAATTCATACGCTCCACGGACGGAGCAAAACATGGTGTGTGTACATTTTTCAACAACATGGTCAAAATTTGAGGGAATATTAATGGAAATAAATTCAAGATTGTAATTTGGATGATTGAATCCATTGTGGTAATGTTTTTAAAAGATTTCTGTTCAAAAGTGATTTGTGTTCTTCATGCCATGTTGGTTCCAAATAAGCATGGAATGTAAGTCATGTCATGTGAGGCAATTCAGTGGTGACCTAATTGTATGATGGCCTGAGGTTGAAAGAGAGGGACAATTTCAACCCCATCTCTTTTTCATCAACTTTGTAGTGTTTTATGAGGAAGTATGAGTACCTTGCTGTATACATTCACATTTATGAACTGTACCTCCTAGTGGAATGTAATAGCGAAAACACACACTTAAAATTCTTAGGGATGATTTAGTGGTTGAATTTAATCTTTGATAATTTATAGGTCTTAAGTTCAATTCCTCCCTATACTCCTTAAAGGCTAGTCACATTTGTTCCTCCCGGGACATGCTTTAATCCAGGTCATGCCACGATAGCTACCCGCTGAGCTTGAGGGAACAATCGGCATAAATTTGAACACCCTGTAGCAAAAAAAAAAATACACACACACTCACTTATATGCATAGAGAACGGCTACAGTATTGATATTGATATTATATCAAAAATTATATTATTAACGGTAAAGTAACAACTCAAAAGAATCTAAGTTATAATTTAAAATGATCTAAATTACAATTTAAAAAGTTATGATTGATCGTAAAATGTTTTGATTGATCATGAAAAATACAATTGTTAAAGATTAAGTTATAACTTGAGAAGGAGAATTCAATAGAATCCCAATGGGTAGCTCTAGTGGTAACAAAGACAATCTATAAATATAGTTGTCTTGAATTTGAATCTTGATAATTTTTTGTGGTCAGACTATGAGGGATTTATTCCTCCTGAACACTCTAATCCCGACATGGATGAACTGTCTTTAATCTGGCTAGAGAGTAGATTAGTCGAGATATGCGAAAGCTAATCTAGACACCTCTGATTATTAAACCCACAAAATAAAAAGAAGAAGAAGTCGATTATAACATGATCGCTAATAAATTATCTCAATTACTTGAAACTTCACCTTTAATACTCATAACTTGGGTTTTAGAGATAATAAATTTTAATTTGGTATCGATTTTTTATTATTTTTATTTTTGGGCAAGTTTTCCTATATGGTCAAATGCATAAACTAAAGTATAGGCACAAAAGCAAAAGATTTGAAAAGCTAACTGCTTTCATTGCACAACAGCTTTCATTTCAAACTTTTCTCAGTGGCATACAAATAAAATAAGGAAAATGGCTGGTGATATGACTTAATGGAAAATTTTATTCTGATATTGGCATGTTTTGTCTCATACCCATCACCTTTTTTGACCTTGGAAAATCTAATGATGGAATTTTGTTGCATACACCTGTGGAATATCATTATCCCACACCTGTAGAATATGCATTTTTTTTTTATTGGGCCACTTATTAGATATAAATGTTTTCAGACTATACAGCTTCACCCCCTAGATTTCTCAAATATTTTTAAAGAACACACCCCAAAATTCTTGAACCAGTACCCTAACGGGCATTATGCAGCCAGTTTGTTTCAAAATTTAGTTGACCTACTAGCTATAACAAATTATTCTACTGTCGCACAGAAAGGCCGATAGAAGTAACATTTCTTAGCGGGACTGGCTTTTCAAGCGCTTAGCTTTTGCTAGCTATGGGGTGGTAAGGTCGTAAAGTAAATTGAGTTAGTTAGCAGCCTAAGCCAAGAAGGGACCAGCAAAATGATGATCTCTCATTACTATTAGGTATATCGTGCATGAAGGTGAGACTTAGAAGCAAGTATTTTTTTTTGAACGTTAAAATTGGAAACTTCATTCAAACTCGGGAAACACGAGGATTACAATTGAAATGTTAAAAAGTCTTTCACCCGGGTGGGGGGCAACTGACCCAACTCAATACAAGAGAGTTAGTCATTACAGACGCTGTTACATTGCGAGATCGTATTCTGGACTCTGGACTTGAGTAAAAACTTTAAGTAAAGAGATATCGGAACTAAGTAGAATAGGTTTCTTTATGAAAATATTTGAGAAAAATGTTGCGTGGTTTTTAATGAATTTTTTTTTTAGATTTGGTCCATGAAGCGAAGGCTTGGACCTAATTTTTTTTGGCTTGTTTTATAGCCCAGTACGTAGAACATATAAAAATCGCTACTTTGGTGTTTAGAATTTTGATTGTAACTGAAAGCCACCTTCTGTATTCCGCTCTCTCAATAGTGAAATTCCTGCAATTTTGTGAAAGTAAGCAAATTGTCAAACAACCTAAAATCTTTGTGTCTTATTCTTTCTTATTTCTTATTACTTTATGTTCTCGGTTTGTTCTTCAATTGTGTGTGTTTGTCTGTTTAAAGCGTGTTAAATCCCAACAGAAAAGAATTAGAAGAGTTTTAATAAATCATGAATATATTTATTAGTGACTTGATATGAAACAAAGAGATTTGACAATATCCAAATTGTATTAGGTTACAATATTTTATCCTTATAAATAGAGTTGAAGATTATGTAATTAGTAACCAAATTATTAGATTTCAATGAATAATACATCGATATAAATTTTTAATTCGTAGATATAAGTATAGCGTATCGGGAGGGTATATTGTATTAAATCACATTATATGCTTTGTATTATATTTTTATTATTTTTTTATTTTTCAACAAGTATTATTTATGTTAATTATTGCAGTTCAATCTCGTAACTGCCATCTTACTCAAAAGCATTGTTAAAACCAACCTTCTTGGATCCTACTTTAAGAGAAGTAATAATGGGCCATTATTTTGTTGCCTGCACGCATTGGCTTTTGTCACTCACACGCATCACAAGCACAAAAGTATATGGGGGAGTCAGTTAGAATTTCACTTTTCAAGTGCTTTAAAACTTTGTCTCTTTTTTGGGCAATTCTTTTTGGGGAAATTCTTCTATTGCCCATGAATTGCATGAAAGGCTTTTGTGCAATGAAGGCTGATTTATTTTTTATATGCATGTTATTCTTATGGGTAAATTAGACTTAACCCCTTAAACTATCACTCTTTTTATACTTTATCCCCTCAATTATCAGATTTCTCACATTATACTCTAAACTAACACTATTATCTCACATTGTTCCAATTACAAAAATCTATTATTTTTTTAGATGAAAATCATTGACGTGTCGATGTAAAATGAAAACAATTACATAATTTGAGAGACGAAATAAAATCAATTTTCGTTAAATGTGTAACGGAAGTTAATAATTGGGGCAATGTGAAACTAATCAATAATTGAGAGTGTAATATAAGAAATATAATAGTTGAGGGGACAAAATAAAAAAAAAGAGTAATAGTTTATAGAGTATAAGTATAATTTATTCTATTCTAACCTGGCCTATTTTTAAGGAAGAATGGATGGAAGTTCTTGAATAGATATGTGCATATCAATTTAATGTCCTTTACCATTTAAAGATTTTATCTTATTTCCATCACAAATCTTATTATTGCTAAAATTTGAAGTTCTCACCAAACTCACTCGTTGGTTAATTAAAAATTTGTTTGAAAGCTCACTCAACACACACTCACACTCACCTTTGGGTACAAAGAAAAAGTCTTGACGATGGTGGTAGTGGTAATTTGGCGTCTATGTAGTGTGTGGTGATTGATGTGTTATGTGTAATTGCTATGTGTTTGTTACACCAGACGGGCGGGTGATGGGTGGTAGATTTTGGGATCATAAGAGTGCTAGGGAATTGAGACTGTGATTTGGAGGTGATGGGTAGGGCTGATAACCGAGACGAGCAACTCGGGTCGAGTTTGACTCGAATATAACTCAATTCAAGCTCAATTTGTGTTTTAAACGAGTCAAATTTGAATAATTTTGTAAGCTTATTTAGAAAAGGGCCTAAAAAAATCGGTTGGAGTTCGACTTTTTTTGTACTCAGCTTGGACTTGACTCATTTTTTAAATAAAAAGAACTTGAACATTGTTTTAGACTTGTTTAAAAAAAGGAGCTCGATCGATTCGACTTGATTATCAGCCCAATGATAAGTAAAAAAAAGTATTATTTATGCCCTCCATTATCGAGTGCAAGTGGCATGTGGTATGTGCACATACCAAAGCCCAATTTCGTTTGTGAATAAGGAAATAAAATAAATTTGGAAAGTACAGAACTAATGTGAGATTTTTGTAATTCTAGAGGGGTAATTTGTAATTAGAAGCAAATATTACGGGACAAAATACCATTATTTCGAATGCAAAGAATAATTGACTGTGAGTGAGTCGGTTGTTTGTCTCTCTCTCTCTCTCTAATTTCAACTGGCGACCCATACTCCGCAAAATTTGTCCCTAATCTCAAGCCTCATTTGTCCTTTCCTTATACACAGTTGATTCCTGGTACTTTTAAAAACAATGGGCAAATTCAACACAACCCCACAAAACCCTTCTCCTACCAAGCCATGAACACCAGCAGATTTCAAAGCATTTTGAGAACATGGGTTTTTGATTTCACTTCTCATTGATTTCATTCTGGTAAGTTGCACTTGCCCAATTCTATTTTCTGTTCTTTTTTCTTCACTTATTTCTCTTTCATGTCATTATTGTACTAAAGAGAGACCGAAAGGCAAAATTGCAGTTGATATAACCCGAGAAAAGTTTCTCTATTGTACTAAGAAATGAGGGATTTCCCATCTTGTTTTGGTGAAAATGGAGTTCAAGTTGCTGATGTTTCATGTTCAGGAGTGAGTTTAAGTAAAACATCTCAAAATTTGGTTAATTGCATATATCAGTGTAAATTGCTGGGAAAATTATGCTTAATCACCATTACTTGGAGCAAGAATTTGATGGGTCACTGCCTTGGTGTTGAGATAGACGATTTGTCTCATCACTGTCTCTGTAGAGTTGATGTAAAGCCTTCTTTGTTCTCCAAGAGAAAAGGGTCCAAGTGTCTAGATGTGAATTCTACTAAAATTGACATGTATTGGGACCTTTCTATGGCGAAATTTGGATCTGGGCCAGAGCCATTAGATGGGTTTTATTTAGCAGTGGTGTGTAATGGAGAGATGGTTTTGCTTATTGGGGATCTGAAGAAAGAAGCTATCAAGAAGACCAATACCATTCCCCCTCTATCCAATCCCATGTTCATTTCCAAGAGGGTGCACATTCTAGGGAAGAGGGTGTTTGTTGCGAAGGCGCAATTCTGCGAAAATGGGCAGATTCATGATCTTACAGTTGAGTGCGATACTGTTGGCAGTGATGATCCATGCCTTGTGGTTCGAGTAGATGGCAAGACAGTTATCCAGGTTAAGCACCTGCGGTGGAAGTTTCGAGGAAATTACACCATTTTGGTTGATGGTCTACCTGTTGAAGTTTTTTGGGATGTTCATAATTGGTTATTTGGTACAACATTTGGGAATGCAGTTTTCATGTTTCAAAGCTGTTTGTCAGCTGAGAAGTTGTGGTCAAGTGAAACATTCTCTGATCCCTCTGTGCTGCCCTGGCCTTGCTCGCATAGTTTCCGGGATTCTAAATCACCAGGTCTTGGTTTTTCTTTGGTTTTGCATGCGTGGAAGAATGAGTAAATGCTTGTTCTTCCTTGATTGCTAACAATTATAGGTAGGTAGTTAAGTTTGTGAAGGATTGTTTACGCAAGTGATTACTTGGACATAATGATGTTGATGAGGGGGGAAAAATTAGCTGGCTTTTTTACATTTATCAATTGGCAATTTGCTTTTCCTTTTATGTTTCTTTTAAGATTAATGATATTGCCTAGCCTGGAATTTGAAGTTGATGTTTATGCACCAAGCACTATTAGCAAGTCATATGTCTTATACAGATCACACTAGTGTTCTTCCTCCACTCTTGTTTGATGATGGTTCCCATTAGCAAGACTTGAACTATTGTTTCAAGGTACGGATATCCAATAACACTTTGGCTGTATTTCAACCAAGTATATGCTAAATAATTGCTGCAACATACACATTCACTGGGTTAAAAGTTGGATTGGTTGTATAGGGGCAGGAAATTAGGTTGCTGAATTGAAAAATGTGTTATGATAGAGAAGGGAGAGAGTTTAACTTTAGGAATTCGAATTACAACTGTGGTAAAACTTTCTTCCATTGAGAGTGATCTGTAAAAATGAAGTAATGCATATCATATGTCTCCATTTCTTGGATTAATTTCCTTTATCTTCTTTATAAGTTGTTCTTCAGGATACATGGGGAAATATCCTTCAACCCGGATGCAGTGTCGAAGTATGTTATTTCACTTTCAAGCAGTTGAAAGTTCTATATAATTTTAGTTTTCCTGTTATAATCTGCCAAAAATTGAGCTACACTCTACTCAACCAAAGCTATTGTATTTTACATATGTCTATCATTTGGTCTGAAAATTCGAATATAGTCCTCTTGATTCTCTTTCTCCTATTCAAAATCTATTGATTTGGTCTTATGTAAATTTATTGTTGTCCCTTTTTTGTTCCATTCATGTTTTAATGTGAGCTATATATACAATACTGAGTCTCCTCATTTGGAGAGGAGTTCAGGGTGTAAATAAGAAAATCCATCTTCAGTTACCCCAGATACTAGTGCAGTTTGTTACCTATTTGTACTTGCTGAATTAGAGGTCTAATGTGCAAGGATAGACTAAACAAAGAGATGGGGCTTGACACACCGGTACAGTTGCTCTATTATGATTTTAACATTGTGGCCTTGAATCACAAAAATAATCTCTCAGCATGCAGAGCAGAAGAATAATGCGAGAATCTTACTCCATAAATCCAGCAGCAACTGGGGTGTATGTTGCTGGAGTGTTGTACAATGTGCTGTCCTCAAGAATACATGTTTGCTCAACAGATAAGAAGCAGGTATAATTTCTTTTAGGAGTTGACTGCGGTATTGTATTGATATTTATTACTATTACTATTGTGAGAATTTTTATTACCGTTATGAATATTATTATTATTATTATTATTATAGTATCAAAAAAAGTGGTAAAAATAATTATTACAACAGTAATAAAAACACTCACAAAAGTAATAATATTTTTTGTACCAAAGAAAAATAGTTACTACAATAGGAATAAAAATACCCTTAAAATTGATAAAAATATTCACAAAATTGGTAAATTACTGACAAAATTATTAATTTTTTTGGTTATAAAAATACTCATAAAAAAATAAATTTTACAAGTATGGTACTGAACTCTTTTATTCGATCTCATAGTCTATTTAGTCAAGTCCTTTCTTTTGTAATGAACATTGGTAAAGACTGAATGGCTTTGCCATTATAAATGCAATGCATTCTTCCGAAGAGTTGGGATTCTACTGTTCTAAATAACGTAAGGCATAGAAAAAGAGCATAGGAATGTTGCAGCTGATCCCTAGAGTTTGTGACACCAAACAAAGTCCCTCCTCCACCCTCTGGCTGGGGTGAGCTACAAAATTAAATAGCGTCCTTGGATCATGTATTATTCAAAATCTCAGGTCCAAAACTTTAAGGGGAAGATTGCCAAAGTAATCCTTAAAACTTTTTTAAGTTTAAATTATAATTTTTCGAGGTATAAATTATAATTACAAATGATATGATCGATGAAAAATATTATTTGGACATAATTTGATGATCTAATCTGACTAATTCAATACAAATATTGGATTAATAGTAGGTTCTATCTAACATTGAAACTCACAACTAATTCAATAATTACAATATATTAAATATCTAAATTAGGTCGAAATTGCATTGTTGATGATCGATTCCAAAATGTTGTGATAAAAGAAAGTTTGAAACTCATAACTAATCCCTTGCGATTTGTTACTTAATCACTCAAACTTCTTGACATTTAAAATATTACACACAGACCCCTTGAGGTTTGTACATGCGTAACTCTTAGACCCTTGCTGTAAATATATCCGATAATAAATTACACTTAGACTCCTCTAAAGTTTGTAGGCATATAATACTTAAAATCTTCAAGTTTAATATATTATATTTAGACAAAAAATTTTCAATCAAAGATAAAATATCAAATGTTTTAAATTTTACAACCAAAATTCATATTATATTGTATCATTTGTAAAAATAAAATAAAAAATAAAAAAATATTTTTTAAAAAAATCTTATATTTGATATTTTATCTTTAATTGACGTATTTTTTGTCTAAGCGTAACATTTTAAATTTAAAAAGTCTAAGTAATAGATGTTTACAAACTTTAGGGGGTCTGAGTATAATTTATTATCAAATATATTTACAACAGGGGTTTAAAGGAAGTTTGTATGTAATATTTTAAATATTAGAAGGTTTGAGTGATTAAATGATAAACTTGAGAGAACTTGAGCGTAATTCTTCCTAACTTTTAAAAGTTAGTAATTTATAACCTGTTAAAATTTTAAGTAATTAATGATCCATCACAAAAATTAGTGATTAATCATTAATTATCTTAATCATTGCAACTCAACTTTAAAAGTATTAATTTTACTTTTCGGAATAGTATTGTGATGTCACCCAACTTTATAGGTAGGTATGTTATTAAATTGAGGGAGGGGAGAGGTGTGTTTCATTTGCTGTCTGTCCCATAATAAATCTTTTTAAGTCTTGGACCATGTGGATCGTGTGACAACTCTTACAACGTTGAAGTCAATGATGTCATGCATGTATCCAACAATACTTTTTTCGAAACGATCACATCATCAAAAACGTTATACATGAATTACTTTAACTATCAAAACCCACGTCAAATTATTCGTATTTGAGGGTGTCAATTTTATTCATTAATATGAAATTGATCTAAATTTGATTTCATTAATTGACGTGAGGAATAAATAGGTCAAATTAAAGTTTAAAATTTATAATTTTAATAATTAATTTGATGAAATTAATAATTTTAGTAATTAATAATTTTATGAAATTAATTTTTAATAATTATTAAATTTATGAAATTAATTTTTAATTTTATCAAACTAAAATTCATAAAATTAACATAAATTTAAAATTCATAAAATTAAAATTAATTCATAAACTGTTAATTAATTTTATGAAATTACATGTTAATTTAATATAACTAAATAAATGATTAGAACTATTAAAAAATATATATATAGGATCGGGACCAGTGGGACCAATTCAGAAAAAAAAAAAAAAAAAGTTTGATTAGTCGTGATCGATTCTATTTAATTGGAACCACCATAAATTTAGTCCGGTCCCAATTTTTGGACCATCAAATGCATTAAAATCGATCTCATATAGTCATGATCGATCCTAATTGAGTGGAATCACAAAATAATAATAACAATAATAATTTGGCATTGAGATCGATCTTAATTAATCATGATCGATTTTAATTGCGTGGAATCCAAAAAAAAAAATTTGGCATTGGGGTTGATCTTAATTAATCATGATCAATCATGACTATTAAATGTAATGTCACTACTTGCAAAAATAAAGTTATTACTCTTGAGATAAAATTATCACCTTTAAAGGTGACGTACAAACTCTTTAGGTAAGGTTATAACAATTGAAAGTAAAATTATTATCTTTGAAAGTGCGGTTATAATTATTTATGGTAAAATTATTACCTTTGGATATGAAATTATAACTATTTAAGGTTAGGTTACAAACATTAAAGGTAAAAATATCACTTCTAAATGTGAAGTACGATTACAATCTCTTGAGGTGAGTTTACAACCTTTTAAGGTAATGTTATTATATTTATAGGTAAAATTATCATCTTAGTGAATAATATTTAGTGACAAAAAATTTACAACTACACATTTGAATAATATTTAATATCAAAAAATTTATAGTCACACTTTTTTTTTTGGTACGGTATCACTATTTGACTAAACGGTACCATAGACTCTCCCATTCTGGGGATAAAGGATCTACGGAGACAGAAAGAAGAGGAAATGACAAGACTGCGAGGTAGGAATTTGGAGACTAAACATTGCGAAATTCTTCTCAATATAAAAAAAATGTATGTTAAATGATGTGTCTTTGAAGATGATGTTAAAAGTAATCATTTGGTAAAACAGTGAAATTCAAAAAAATAAATATTGATTATTCATTCTAAGATTTATTCATATTTAATAGAAAATCGAAACCTTAAATTTATGAAAAAGATTAAAAATTATCTTTTGAAGCGTACTTTTAACAATTTTTTAAACTTTCTCAAAAATTTTAAAATTTTAAATCTAAATTTGATCTTTACTCTAAACCTTATAGTCGTTTGACCTCTATCGGTATCCACATGAATTAATAAGAGTAATGCTACATAGATTTAAAAGTAGTAGATTTTATAATTACAAAAATAGGTATTAAGTTTCAATAAATACTGTGACTCATAATAAAATCAATAGTTGTAATTATTAAGTCTACTTTGTAAATATATTTTTTAAATCTTTGTAAAATTGCTCAATTAATAAACTTGAAGGATATCCCTCAACCTTTGATAAACTAGTAAAGAGAGAATGATGTGTAGATTTTCTTGTGCTAACAAGAGAGTTGGTATTTTATATATCCATCTCCTATATAAAGGTACTAGTTATTGCTTGTGTCTGAAGGCACAAAGTAATAAAAAATGGTAAACAGTAAACATATTTATATTCATGTTCAAAATTAAATCACAAACATAGATGAGAGATAAAAGAATTGAAGCATCGATTTGTCGTGGAGGCGACGAGGGCAGTGATGATGGTGGCGACAGCGACAGTGGCAACAACGGTGGCAGTGATGGTGGTGGTGGCGACGATACCGGTTGTGGTGGCGGTAACAACGGTGGCGTCGGCGGTGGTGGCGGTGGGGGTGGTGGTAATGGTGACCACGACGGTGGTGGCGGGGGTGGTGAGGGCGATGAGGGGTGATGGTGGCGGCGACGACGATGATGGTGGTGGTGGCGGTGGTGACGACGGCGGCGACAGTAGTTATGGTGGTGGTAGAGGTAATGATGGGGTGGTTTCGAACACTATTTTTAAAAAAAAAAATTATGTGTAATAATTTCTAGAAATATTTTTAAAAAATCACTCCAAACACTCTCAAGGGCCAATTTTTCCTAATAAATTTAGGGTGTTAATATTAGTTCTTAGATTAATTTTAAAATAAAAATTTAAAACGATCTCAACCGTGAATAGCAAAAGTCATTTTATTTATCTTTTGAGATTTGAATTGTATTGTATTTTATTATATATATTTATAGAGCTCTTTAGAAAACTCTAATCCAAGTTTGGGTGTAGTTGCAATTATCTCATAATTATACATAACTCATTTATTAGCTATTAATTATAATAAAATTCATAATTAACTCTTAATTAGGTTTTAACCCAAATTAACTTTTAATTGATTTTCTCTCATTTATCCTTCCAATTAATCTATATAATAAAGTACAATACAATTCAAATCTCAAAAGATAAACAAAATGACTTTTGTTATTCGCGGTTGAAATATCTTTCAATTTTATTTTAACGTTAATCCAACGACTAATATTAACACTCCAAATTTAATAGAAAAAATAGACCTCCAATAGTGTGTTTGATGTGACTTTTTAAAAGTACTTTTAATACTTATAATTTCTCATAAATACTTTTAAAAAAAAAGTAGTGTTTGAAACCACCCCACCACCACCACTACTACGATCACCCCTGTCGTCCCACCACCATCACCATTACCACCACCACACTACCCACCGTCTCACCACCACAATCACCACTACCACTATCCTCTGCCCCTTATTATCATTATTGTTGTCGTCACCATACCACCCCTACAATCATCACCGTTGTCACACCACCACCATTGCTCGACCTCCACCATCCCCATTACACCCACCATCGTCACCTCCACCCCACCACCACCCTACCACTGTCGTTGCCACCCCACCACAACCTCTGGCACAACCACTACCACCATTGCCCCTTACTATCTCCATTGTCACCGTTACTATTGACGTCACTCCAACCATCACCATCCCCCACTACCCTCACCACCACCACCGTCACCTCCACCCCACCACCACCGTCATCACCACCACCGTCACTACCACCCACCACCATTACCATCGCTCATTCTCACTATAACTGGTACTTAAATTCATTTATCTCTCTTATATATTTGTGATTTGATTGTTATTGACTATTTTTTTGTTAGTTTGTGCCTTCAGTCACAGACAATAACTAGTTCTATTATGTGTGACCTTATAGGTACAAGAATACTAAGTTATAAACATTCGATACTAACTACAAGTAGTATTTCAAATTAAAAACTCTTTCTAATTTAACTCGAATTAAAACTCTTATAATTCTCCATTTTATGGAGAACAATTAATATATATTTATATTAATTTTCATTCTTCCTACTTCTACTAATGATGAATAAGACCTAACATCATATGATGATTAACCTCTAGATAATATGAAATAAGTAAAGAATTCATTCAGTCTAAAGTTGTCATGCAATTTAATTTTCTATCACACAATGTCTCAGTTGAATTAGTAGAGTATAAATTATTGTCAAACCTCTTAACTCAATCTTATATGTTTGATCTTAGGAATACAAATCTTAATGATTAGAAACTCTTTTTCTAATTGTCATTCTGCCTTGGTCAAGGACTCTTTGAGTCATATTCTAGAAAATCACATAGGACTAGGGGTGTCCATGGGTCAGGTTACCCATGGATCCCGTTACCCCACTCAAAAATAAGTCCAAAATTCGATAGATCCAATAGTTGGCCTGCCCAAGCCTGAGCCCAATATCCTTAAAAAGAGGACTTGAGTTTGTCCCCAAACCTATTAACCTGCCCAATAGCCCGCCCAAACAACCTAGCTCAAGAGATTGCCCGCGTCACCCTTCTTTTGAAAAAAAATTATACTTTTAGACCATTAAATTCGAAACTTTAAAATATGTTTCCCAATGTTAGAATTTAAAGTTTTAAAAATTTAGATACTATAAATAATGTATTATTTTCTTTTCCATATATTAAGTATAAAAGTTTTAAAGGGTAAAGTAATGTAAATGATAGATTAGTGAGTAGGTGTCAACTTAGTTGTAATGTATTCATTCTATTGAATGTAATTCATCTCCTAATCAAAAATAAAATTATTCATTATTTTATTTTTATCCATTTTGACTCTACTTTTAATTCAAAAATATAATTTACACATATATTAAGTTACACAAATATTTATTATTTTAAATGAAGTTGTATATAAAAAAGTCCACGAGTAGGCCCGCCCAATAACTTGCATGTTAGGCTGCGGGTAGCCTACTTTTACCCAAAAACCGCCCCGATAACTCACTTGGGTAAGGGCTTGAACTTACATTACCCAGGTTTGTCCCGAAAAAAATTTCATAGGCCTAGCTTGGCCCGGCCCATGGACACTTCTGCATAGGACATTCTTCCTTTATTTACTAACGGTGATAAATTTCATGTTGTACACTTATAAGTCTCTATACATGTCTAATTTTGTCCAACAATACATATCTAAGTTACATCGTTAGTATATAAATATGTTGTATAGTTAAATTATATAAGTTCATGTACAAGACAATCGTGTTGTCTCAAGTTTAAGGATCAGTTGAATAACTATAATTTTAGGATTTAACATTGACAGGTATATAAAATTCCATATGAAAAATCTTACGTTACTCAATAGTCACGTTTAGTATACTTGTTCTCTAACAAGCACTCACATACCTACTTTAGTATCCCTACAATAGTGATTTGGATGAGTCGCCTCATATTAAATATGAGTGAATATAGTGTATGCTAGTCTATCCGAATTATATAGTGTCCACATAATAATGCTATGATTAGAAATATTTAAGAGTTAAATAGTAAGAAATATATGTCTCATCTTTTTAACAACTTGAGAAACTATCTTCTTAACTTATATTCTATAGACTTTATCCTGCATGTTAAAATGAAAGTAGTCAGCAACCTAATAAATTAACTTACCATTTTATTTAAACAAGTAATAAATGTCAGTGTTATGAATGCGGCCAAAAAAATTTGTCCAAATTTTCTACAAGGAGGAAAAATTTGTATGCTCAAATTTTCTTGCAATAATTGGTTCCCATAGCATATGCAAAGTTTTTTACTTATTTTTTGTGCAAATGAAGTGGTAGAGTTGGTGGGGGGGGGGGGGGGGGGGAACTCAAATAAAAAGAGTAAATTACACTTATCTTTATTTTATTTTATACTCTCAATTATAAAATTTCTCATATGACACCTTAAAATATTAATTTTATTTAATATCATTCTAATAGATAATGACAAACTTGAAAACTTATCAAAGGAGGAAAAAAAATCCTAAAGAACTTCTCCTTTAATTACCTTATTTCACTTCTTTTATAACCAAATAGTTACTGAGAAGAAAAAACAGGTTGCCCAAAGGAATAAAATTTAAAACTTAGAAAGGACAAAGTTACTAGGGTGACTTGACATGTTGTCAGGCCTAAAGCGATAAATTCGACTAAGATTATTTTTAATTTTTTTTAATAATAATGTAATTTTTTTAATATTTTTTTTTTCATATGCATATTAATTGTTTAATATTCGTATTGAAGTTTTTTTAACATATCTATTTTTATTGATAATATAACTTATTGACTTAATTTTTGAATTAAATAAAAAATTTCAAAACTTTCAAATTCAAAGATTATTTGACAAATTATGTTGTCTCGTCATTGACGCTCTTATAAAAATATTTTTCTATGAATTAGGGATTTCTCATAGAATATATGTTTGATTAAGTTTTTAAGATTATGATAAAAAAATATAATATTATATGGACCTTATATAGTGACTTTATTTGCCGATTTTATTATTTTTTGTTATTAGATAGAGATAGATAGTGGACCCTATTATTAGTTGGAGCCCACTGTCAATTCCATAGTTATGATTCATCATGTCACCAAATAAGATTATTAAATTCGGTATAAAAAATATTTTCTTCTTTTTTCCTTATAAAATATTATTGTGTGAGATTAATGGATTAGATTTTTAGGCCCAAAATTAGTCTAGAAATTTTGTTGTTGGTTTAGGCCTTCATTTACGAGCTTTTTTAATGGGTTAAGATTGACTTGAGTAATATTTATAGACTTTTTAAATTTTGGGGTCCTTTTAATTTGTGGGGCCTAAAGTGACCGCTTCATTTTCTCTTGTGTTGGGTCGACCTTACAAAGTTATGGATAAAAATTTTTCTTGATTTTTGATTTGCACTAGTGTAGTAGGCAGTTGATTATTGATAATATAGACCACTCACATGCGCATTTATAGTCAAAAAGTTGATAATTGTTATCTGTTGGAGTGATATAAAATAAAGTTGATATTTTAGAATACAATGTAAGAAATTTTATAGTTTAGGGTATAAAGTATAATAAAGGTAATAGTTTAAAGGAATAAAGTGTAATTTACCAAAAAAATTAGAATGAGTGATTTTGTAGTACAGGATGTCATCACGAAGATCTCTTGCCTCAGCACTCACAGCCATAGCTATGGCTGCAAACTTCAAGCTTCTCCTCTGCTTGTTCTCTCTCTTCCCCATTTTCACTCCAATCTCCACCAATCAGTACCACCCACTAAACCCTCTCACTCCAGCAGAGATCAATCAAGTTCGAACCATAGTCAAACAGGCCCAACCCAGCTCACTCCACAATCTAACCTTCCAGTACGTAGGCTTAGACGAACCAGACAAGTCAATAATCTTATCATGGTTATCAAATCAACCCACAAAAAACCCACCTCGCAGAGCCTTTGTTATTGCACGTTCTGATCTTAAAACTCATGAAATCATCGTTGACTTGTCGACTAATTCGATTATTTCTGATAAAATCTACCATGGCGATGGCTATCCTCTACTCACCTTTGAAGAACAGACAGCTGCTAATAAATTGCCGCTAACGTACGCACCATTTATAGCGTCAATTAGCAAGAGGGGGCTTAAGGTTGAAGAAGTAGTGTGTGGGAGTTTCACTGTGGGGTGGTATGGAGAGAAGAAGAGGACTAAGAGGATCATTAAAGTTATGTGCTATTACTTGGATGGGACTGTGAATTTGTACATGAGACCTATTGAGGCAGTGACTGTGACCGTTGATCTTGATCAGATGAAGATCATTGGGTTTCTTGATAGACTGACGGTTGTGGTGCCAAAAGCCGATGGGACTGATTACAGACGATCGGAGCAGATGCCGCCGTACGGGCCACAATTGAAGGGGATACGAGTAGTTCAACCAGAAGGACCAAGTTTCACCATAGATGGACATACAGTGAGGTATATAAGGCTTGTTCTTCACAGTGTTATAGTATGTCTGTTCTTGTTTTTAAAATGGGTTTGTTTCCTACATGATGGATGGGATGAGAAAATTTGTTTTGACAATGTCTAACATGGTCTTTTAACCACCGAATTAAGTAGTTAAAGACTTAGATTTTCTCGCTCAATGCATGAGATTGAGTTTCTATAATTATGACAATTCCAAGAACTCAAAGCAAGCAAGGAAACCTTAGCTTCTACCTGACGTAGGTGCGGTGGAGCCTCCAATAGATAGCTGTGTGGTACTGTAGGTCAATGCTCCCTCGCGAATATGCAGATTCATTTTCTGTACTAAAAAGCAAATAGTCTTTTAGACTCACTTACCAATTTACCATGCTTCGTGGAGGTTGAATTAGGATCCACTATTGTATTGGATTCTTTTAGTTCTATAAATAGCATATCAACCATCGTGAATTAGTATGGGAAAAAAATTAAGATAATGTGAGTTCTATTTGGATTGGTAAGTGATCTAGCATTAAATGAATTAAAAGAGTCTAGTACGAGATGGGAAAAGTTTTTCTTTATCAATTGGTTCCTGACATTGAGCCTAATCAACTCAACTCTTTACTATGAGCCTGAAAACAGTAAGACCATGACTTTACACCTGTACAAACTTTTGATTAGGGCTGTTGTTCAAATTTTCGATCAGCCGCAAGTTCTTACCTTACCCGATCTTACTGAACGGTTAGTCACAAAAATCGAGTAAGAATGCGGAAGAATTTTTGGTCTTCCGACAATTTTCGGGTAGGAATGCGGAATAGCCATTCATTTCCGCATTCCTACCCTACCCTACCCGCAATAATTTTTTAATATATATATATATATATAAATTAAAAAAACCCTAAACCCTAACCACAGGCGAAACAATTATGTTTTTAATGTATTTCATATGGTTTAAAGTTTAAATTTAAATTAATTGTAATTGTATTTGTGTAACAATTATGGTGGATTAATGTTCATATTTTCGTGTTTTATTATAATTCTTATTGTAGTTGTTTTAGATTTTAGTGTTAATTGATTTATTGTGTTGTTAAATTGGTGCATGTTATTTAATTAAATTATTAAAATGATTCAAAAATTAATTGTTACAAAAATATTTACCCGATTTCCTACCTAATTAGTCGGGTAGGAATACCACACCTGTCGGGTAGGGTAGGCCAAGAAAAAACTCTTCTGCAAAATATCGGGTAGGAAGACGGAAGAGCATATTTCCTATCCGTAAGGTAGGGTGAACACCCCTACTTTTGATGTAGTTCATGCTATCTTGGTCTATGTTGTACATTTTCCTTTTATATTATTTTTTTTTTGGGGAAGTATAGATAGGATGCCATTAGCTGCATTGACTTACTTAATTTGTGCATTTTTCTGTTTGTTAATATAAATCAATTTTCTTTTCCTCATCACATTTCGATCCATAGTTGCCTAAAAGAGAATCAACTGATGAATAACGTGGTCTTTGTATGTCACTAAAATCAGGTGGGCTGATTGGATTTTTCATCTAGCTTTCGACATGAGAGCAGGTTCAATTATATCTTTAGCATCAATCTATGATGTTGACAAGGGTGAATATCGTCGTGTGTTGTATAAAGGGTTTGTATCAGAGCTCTTTGTGCCATACATGGACCTGACTGAAGAATGGTATTATAGGACCTTTTTTGATGCTGGTGAATATGGGTTCGGTCTATGTGCAGTGCCACTTGAACCATTAAAGGATTGTCCAGAAAATGCAGTGTTCATGGATGGTTACTTCACAGGACAAGATGGGACACCAGGAAAGACATCAAACGTTTTCTGTGTTTTTGAACGCTATGCAGGAGACGTTATGTGGCGCCATACTGAAGGTGGAATTCCAGGGAAAGTGGTAAATGAATTTTTGAATTGCTTATAGAGGTTTCGTTTTCCAGCTACATATTTGGGATTGAATTGAGAGTTAAAACTGTTTTGCAGATAAGAAAGGTTAGACCAGAAGTGAGCTTAGTGGCGAGGATGGTGTCTACTGTGGGCAACTATGACTACATTGTTGATTGGGAATTTAATCAATGTGGCACCATCAAAGTCACGGTAAAGTAACCATGAGGCTAATAATGTTTATGATACGAAACAACGATAAATTCTTTTGAGCAAGGAATGACTGAAAATCTCAGTAATGTGGGATATCTTGGAGGAGGAGAGGCATGATAAATCTGAGGCCTTTTGCATCCATACAGCATCATTGTCAATAAATTATGTCTTGGTCACATTTAGGCTACTTTGTTCCCAGTTCTCGGCTTTAAAATAGACTGAGCTGCTTATTGTTTCTGCAACTATTCCTGTCAGCCTTAATGCTGATGGGAATTCGCCGCATGCTAGATTTGAATTAATCCGGAGCTGCTATGAACTTCTCATTAAATTCAAAGTGAACGTGGGAATCTCCATGGGTGGGTTTTTTGCATCCTTTCCTATAGCATTTTCTCCCAATGTCATATTGATCTAGTGCTATCAGCATTTTTAAGATATCCGTATGTCATTCGTTCATTAGTAGGCTTATAAACCAAATTTCGTTGTCACAGGTTGGGCTGACTGGTCTGCTTGAAGTGAGGGGATCAAACTACACCCACAAAGATCAGATACAAGAGGAAGTCTATGGCACATTGTTAGCAGAGAACACTTTGGGTGCATACCATGATCACTTCCTCAACTTCCACCTTGACCTGGACATTGATGGTGACGCCAATTCTTTTGTCATGACTAACTTGCAAATGACCCGCGTGACTGATAACAGATCACCAAGGAAGAGTTATTGGACTGTTGTGAGTGAAACTGCTAAAACCGAGTCTGATGCGAAGATTAAGCTAAGCTCAAAAGCATTTGAGTTGTTAGTGGTGAATCCTAGCAAGAAGACCAAGGTGGGGAACCATGTTGGCTACCGTTTGATCCCTGGGTCTGTCGCGGGTCCCCTCATGATGGACAACGATTATCCACAAATCCGTGGGGCCTTTACCAAGTACAATGTGTGGGTAACACCATATAGCAAGTCAGAAAAATGGGCAGGAGGATTGAATACTGATCAGAGCCAAGGAGATGACAATTTAGCAGTGTGGAGCCTCAGGTACAGTTAAGTTAATACAAGCCTAAAGTTTGATTGGCTAATATTGAAAACTAATATCATTGAGTTAAATTATTAAGTTTTCTTCTTTATTATTAATGCAGGAATAGGAAAATAGAAAACAAGGACATTGTGTTGTGGTACACATTAGGTTTTCATCATGTACCTTACCAAGAAGATTTTCCGGTCATGCCCACGGTGAGTGCGGGTTTTGAGCTCCGGCCAGCTAATTTTTTTGAGTATAATCCCGTGCTCAAGGACAGACCTGCCAAAGTTGTGAGGTAGCCTAATTGCTCCACATCAATGACTGGCGTGATGTAATAATTTGTTATTGATGAATGCTAAAGGTTACTGAACTCTCTGTCTCTGTCTCTGTATCTGTCTCTGTCTTTGTCTCTCTCTCTCTCTCTCACACACACACACACACAAAAACAACCCACACACCCCTTTGAAAATGCATTCATAAATTCTAAAATTCTGGAAATTTGTCTAAATCGATTAGGATTTAGCTTGCTGATGCAGCACCAAACAAATTGTTAGGACAATTGCTTAGGAAAGGATAGATGCAGCAGTTGAACATGTTTTACTGTCTATTAATGATCAAGGGGCAAATTTGATGAGTAATTCATTTTAGTGGAATTTATTGAGATTAATATCTGTGAAAGGTCCAGAAATGGAAAAAACTGTACATGACTAGCTGAAACCTCACCAAACAAAAGCTACTTTGAGATGTTAAATATATTGCTGATTTAAACAGATCACTTTCTCAGTGTTCCATTATTTGGTTGAATCTGACCTCCATTTTCCCAAAATATACTAGTTTTTGCTGAAGACTTTGTTTTTTTTTTTTTTTTTGGTTCAACGGTCTAGGGTGTTCGAGTTAACTTACATGTCTCTTGACTAATTTCTTTTCCAGTCCGGTTAAAGGCGGACCATCCACGCCGGTGCTAAGGTATTCATAAGGGATAAATTCATCGTGGCCTAACCTCAAGAGATTATCAAGTTCGAACTCAGAACGTTTGAATTTATAACTCGTATCTGTTGGGGTTGCTGAAGACTTTGGAGAATTCAAGTTAAAGGTTCTTTCCATTTGTTTATTTTGTCCTCCTACTCTGCTGCTATCATACAACTAGATAGCATAGATGGGATCTATAAAATTTTGAAATGGTGACTCTTGGGGGGGGGGGGGGGGGCTTAAATAGGAGCATGCTCTTCATCTCAATAGAAAAGCAGAGCAAATCAAGTATTCTTTGCCCACAATGCAAGAAAGGAACATAAACTTACAATCTAATGCACATTAATTGTGATTGGCTGTACATTGCCTCCTTACTAAGGAAAGCTGACACATTGTAACATGGAAACATGGGAAACCTTGTGTGATATTTGTTGAACAAAGCAGCTTATCATAATGGAAAATGCTATTTGGACTTTATTTGGAGATCTTATTTAAGGACCTAATAATGTGATTTCAATATAATCATTAAATTAATTGTGAATTTTATACTATTGGATTAGTTGTGAGTTTCAATGTTAGATGAAACTCACAACTAATTCAATGGTTATATTGATGTCACATCATTAGGTCTCTAAATAAGATTCCCAAATAAAGTATATTCTATCATAATAGTGTAGTAACAACTTAACACAGGTTAGTGGTATGAGGTTGGAGGTTGGAGGTAGGAGGTAGGAGGTAGGAGGCAGGAGGCAGGAGTTTGGAGGTTGGTGGTTGGTGGTTGGTGGTTGGCCTAATGGCCACCGCCGCTCGTAAATTGTAATAAAAAAAATGAAAGTGTAATGAATGTCATTTAATATAATATGAATATTCACTATCATATATTGTCAGACAGTATTTGGAAGCACCACATCTCTATCAACCTTTTTTTTTTTGTTGAGCTCACAAAGCAGTGTCCATGACTGTCTCAGTCCAAGTTTTAGCTATTGTCCTGCAATTCTTTGTTACTACTAGTCTTTGTCACCCTCTAGATCCTCTCAGTCCAAGAGAAATCAACCAAGTTAGACTCATCGTTCAAAAGTCTCATCTTGGCTCTGTTACTAATCTAACTTTTCATTTTGTTGATCTTGAAGAGCCAGAGAAAAGAGATGTTCTCAACTGGTTATCTTCACACAAACACAATGAGTCTTTTCCTCATCGTCGAGCCAGGGTTGTGGTTCGAGCTGAGGGTCAGACCCATGAGCTCATTGTAGACTTCGCCACTGGTTCAATAACATCAGACCATGTTTACACTGGCCATGGTTACCCTCCATTGACTTTTGAAGAGCTTTTTCAGGCCAGCAGGCTACCCTCAAAGTACCCTAAATTCCAAGTCTCAATTTTGAGAAGGGGTTTAAATTTGTCTGAAGTCACCTGCATACCATTTACAATTGGTTGGTTTGGGGAGATTGTTACCAGAAGAGCTTTGAGACTCTCGTGTTTTTATCGTGGAGGGACGTCTGATATATGGGCAAGGCCGATTCAGGGGATAGATATTCTAGTTGATGTTGAAACAATGCAAATTACCAAGTATTTGGATAGGGTTAGAGTTCCATTGCCTGGAGCTGAGGGGACTGATTTTCAATCATCAGGGCAAAGGCCTGTTGTTGTCACCTGTAATAAAACAGAAATTGGCTTCACCATTACTGGGAACGAGGTTAGATGGGCTAATTGGGTGTTCCATCTATCGTTCAATGCTCGAGCAGGGCTGATCATATCAACAGCCTCCATATTTGACGCGGGTAGGAAAAAGTACAGGCATGTGCTTTACAGAGGACATATATCGGAGACATTTGTTCCTTATATGGATCCTACAAGTGAATGGTATTATAAAACCTTCATGGATGTGGGTGAATTCGGGTTTGGAAGATCGGCCAGCACGCTTCTGCCACTGATTGACTGCCCTGGCAATGCAGCCTATCTCGATGGGTATCTAGCCGGGGTGAATGGACAAGCACAGAAGATTCCAAGGGCCATTTGCATTTTTGAGAGGTATGCTGGAGATGTTGCCTGGAGACATACTGAAATTGGTGTACCTGGAAAAGATGTAAAGCAGCTTGTTTAAGTGCTTTCTGATTTTTTTTTTTTGCAGTGTCCTTTCTGTGAGCAAAGTGAGATCTTAAAATGAACTGTTTAGTTTTGCAGATAACTAGTGGAGAGCCAGAGGTTAATCTGGTAGTAAGATTGGTGGCAACTGTTGGAAATTATGACTATGTCCTTGACTGGGAGTTCAAGCAAAGTGGCTCCATCAAGGTTGGGGTAAGTGCCACAACTTGGGAAGCCATTTACACTCCATTACTTCAAGCAATAAATCATTTAGAGCACATTCTTCCTCCTTTCATTTCAGTTTTAATCTTTTCAGTGTTATTGGTGTAACTTATGGACCCATATTATATAACCCTGTTCATTTTGGATTAGACCCATATTATATAACGTGTGTTGTGTAATAGAGGTCCAAAATTCACACAAGTAAAGGCCAATGTTACTTTGACCGTGGGCTGATTTGATACGTGATATAAGTATAGATATGTGGTACGATACGTCTTCTAATACACGGTATGATGTGATTAATACGATACTTCTTTTAATACATTGTATGATGTGATTTAGTTTAGTTAGTACGATGTTTTTGGGTTGTGGTTCGTTTTGTAATTTTTGTAAAGAATAATACATCCATACACATATAGTTAACAAATATTTATTTTATATCTCTGGTAAGGATTATCAAAATATCAATTTAAAGTACACCAAAATAAAGAAATAACAAGTTAATGTTATGATTTGGGGTTGGGCTTATGACGTGGGATTACTTAAATCATGAATCAATGTGCAGTTTGAGTTGGAAGTTAGGGTCCAGACTTTGAGCGATTCAGATCGTGAACTCATCCCGTTTTGAATCGTACGACCACGGTTCGTGGGACTTTGGGAGTGACTATAATCCCAGTATCTATCTATGGTTGGGACCTAAGTGATAGGTTATATGCATTGTAATTTTAAAACTTCAATTCTTCGTAGTTTATAATTATTTCTGATTGGCAGGTGAGCCTAACAGGTGTGCTTGAAGTTAAGTCCACTGCATACACAAACATTGACCAAATAACTGAGAAAGTTTATGGCACCTTGGTAGCAGACAACAGAGTTGCCATCAACCATGATCACTTCCTCACATACTACCTTGACCTTGACATTGATGGAAACCACAATTCATTCATCAAATCCAAACAGAAAACAGTGAAAATAACAAACATTAACCTATCTCCTAGGAAGAGTTACTGGACAACTGTTAAGGAAACTGTCAAAACTGAAGCTGAGGCCAGGACTAGGCTTGGGTTGGAACAACCAGCAGAGCTACTAGTAGTGAACCCCAATAAGAAGACTAAGCTGGGAAATCAGGTTGGTTATCGGCTTATCACCGGACAACCAGCAACCTCCCTGCTGTCCAGTGACGATTACCCGGCGATTCGAGCAGCTTACACCAAGTATCAATTGTGGGTGACATGCTACAATAACTCAGAAAGGTGGGCTGGTGGGTTTTACGCTGATAGGAGCCATGGGGACGATGGCCTTGCTGTTTGGAGTCGCAGGTAAGAATCAATCCTCCTCTAATTGTTCCATTCCCTAAAAAAAGTAGTGTTTCAGTAACGTCAATTGTTTAGATAATTGTCTGGGCTAATGTCACTTTGAACCCTGAAAGATGCTTTAATTTTTAATTAATACCCTCAAACATTAAAAATTTTAATTTACATCTTCAATATTATGAATTAGTAGCAATGTAGACCTTGCCTAGACTACCGTTCCATTTTTTGTCATAAATTGAAATATGTGAATTGCAACTTGCAAGTGCTTCTGTCATAGACTTATATATAAATTCAAAAACTGTTGCGCTTCATGTGAATTGCATATCATAAACTTAATCTCTATTTAATTAACAAAATCTTATTTTTAATACATAAAATGATATTAAATTGATCGCAGATAAAGATCTACAATGATGGACACACTTTATCTTCATGCCCAAAGCACTTGCAATTAATGTACTTCGATTTATGATAAAAATTGACTGGCAATCTGGGTGAGGTGTACATTACTATCAATTCATAACATTTCAGGGTACAAATTAAAATTTTTAATATTTGAGGGTGTAAATTAAGAATCGAATTATTTTTTGGAGTACAAAGTAAGATTAGCCATAATTTGCTAATCTAATAATTAGTAACCATTAAATAGATTGTGGATCCCAATATTTGTTGAGATCCGTAACCAATCTTATAATAATGGTGGATAAAATCAACAAATTATTTTGAGACAATATTGATTGATTTTTTTTTTTTTCTGGGTATGTGCAGGAATAGATCAATTGTGAATAAAGACATAGTGGTGTGGTACACAGTAGGGTTCCATCACGTTCCATACCAAGAAGATTTCCCGGTGATGCCGACAATCTACGGTGGGTTCGAGCTCCGGCCGGCAAATTTTTTCGAAAGAAACCCATTGCTCAGACAATAGCACTGTTTTAGAGCTTGTTAATTTAAAGTCAATGCACTTATTTCAATTTAGCAGAGGCAAATCATCTAAATAGTTTTATCCCTGTTTCATTTCTTATCTGTTGTTTTTTTGTTACTGCTTGATTTTAAAAGGCTAGAGAAATTAAATACATCGTTCGCTTTTTCATTTTTCATATTAATACCCTCCTTTATTAATTTACGTTTTTGTAATTCCTTTGGGCTAGGCAATGCGTGATTTATTCAGTATGAATAACCTAATCTTGACGTGAATGACCCGTATTTGAACGGATCGGGGAGATAATTAATCAAGATGTACAAGTGTAATCTTGGTTGATCTGTCCAAATGACGGTTCCTTTGAGTAAGGGGTGATTGGTAGTCCCCATAAACACTTGTGTTGCATATAAAGAACTCTCACACAAGTTTTTATTCGATATTTTTGGGGTCAGTCATATTTTTTTGTTAAACCATAAATTATTATATATTTTTTTACTATTTTATTTAATATTAATTTTGACTTTATTTTATTTTACCTTTATCATCAATAACTATCATATCACTCTCACTTGCCGGTGCCATAGTAACCCATTTATTAATACGTCCACATTGCCAAAGTTGATTATCTCTCAATTTATTATTATTATTTTTTTCATGGGTATAATTATTTTTAATTCTATTTTCTCTAGTTTTGTCACAAGTCCATCTTAACATTCTCATTTCTGTCACATTCAATTTTTGAACAAAAACACATTATAAAATAAAAGATAATAATGCTATACGAAAAAAAGTTTTATAAAAAATTCTCACTAGCATTCTATTATTCCAAAACAAAAGTCTGTCAATATCATGGTCTATATAGGATTCATATATAAGCTCTTTTATATAGAAGTTGAGTTAAAGAAAATTAAAATTTTAAGCCAAGTGCACAACCCCCACAAAGGTGCATTGACTCTACAATTAATTGGAATAAAATAGAGATAATTCTTTGATGCCATAGTCTTGATGAAAAATAATCCTTGGATATCATAGTCTTTTTGAAAAATAACATAGTAGATATCCAATTCGGATACCATAGTCTTTATGAAGTTCGGCTCGACTCGACTAGGGTAGGGTATGAGAGTTACTATAAAATAAAGATGAAGTTGCAACAATAAAAATTGTTTGAGATTGATTCTAGAATATTAGGATTAAAATTTTAGACTTGATTCTAACATTTTAAGATCGTTCCACACTTTTTCATAGCGAAAACTTAACTTTTGGACAAGTAACTTGACTTATATTAAGTCAGAATCTCATCTTTATTTTAATATTCGATATTCGTTCCCAAATAATAATAACTGAGAGCAACACAAGTGAATTTGAATCAGTGCATGCACCGGCTCTTTTCTTTATGGCTTACAGAGTTATCTAGGATTTGGTGGTGCAGTTAGGCCAGTTCTGCACATACTGGGGAGATTTTGTCTTAAGCACTGGATTTCTCTCGAAGAAATTGGCCGGCCGGAGCTCGAAACCACCAGTCAGTGTCGGCATAATCGGAAAGTCTTCTTGGTAGGGGACATGGTGAAACCCCATGGTGTACCACAGCACTATATCCTTGTTTTCAATCTCCCTATTCCTGCATATTCAACATGTACACTTGTAAATAACAATAATGAGTTTAAATCAAGTTCGAGTTTGTCAAGTTTGAGTATGTTTAAATTTGACTTAGTTGTGATCGGTGGAACTTGTGTTTAACTCAAGTTTAACTATCAAGCTTAGATTTTTACTTAAGCTCGAGTCAACAGAAACAAGTGAGTCGAACATAAGCTTAAAATCGAATTGAATTTTTCATAAAAATATCCTAGAATTCAGCCCTAGAACTTCAATAACTACTCTTAAAATGATTAAATTCTAAACAAAAATCTTCTAAAAATCTATTGGAGAAGAGAAGAACAGAAAAGTGTATACAATTACAACTTAATTATAACTACTCATGTACAAATTATGGGTTGTTCGTCTTTCGAATGTTAATTGTTTAATAAAAAAATTAAAATTATATATAAACACAAACCTATTCTAAGGCGAGCTAAGCTGATTCAAGCTTACTCGATTCGAGCCGTACGTCGCTAAAATTCAGATTTTTAACAAAAACGAGTTTAGAAAATTGACCTAATTTAGGTTTTTTTAATTGGACCAAGCTTGAATGAGGCAAAACTAAGTATAATAATATGTTATGGTGATATTCTAAGCCACACTGTTACCTGAGGCTCCACATGGCCAAGGTATCATCTCCTCGGCCCTGATCAGTATACAATCCTCCTGCCCATTTCTCAGACTTGTTGTATGGAGTGACCCAAACATTGTACTTGGTGAAGGCCGCTCTGACTTGTGGGAAATCATCATCTGATAGAAGAGGACTTGCAATTGATCCTGGAATCAACCTATACCCAATAGGGTTCCCAAGCTTGGTCTTTTTATTCTGGTTCGACACCAATAGGTCAGCTGGTTTCAACCCTAGCCGGAGTCGAGCTTCGGACTCGGTTTTGGCAGTCTCACTGGTGGCAGTCCAATAACTCCGCCTCGGAGAGACATTGTCGGTCACTCTTCTGGTCTCTAGGCTGGTTTTGACAAAGGAATTGGCAACACCATCCACATCAAGGTCAAGATGGTATGTCACGAAGTGATCATGGTATATACCAATGGTGTTTTCAGCTACTAATGTGCCATGGACATCCTCCTTTATTTGTTCTGTGTGGGTATATGACACCCCCTTCACATCTAGCACACCAGTAAGCCCAACCTGTTTCAGGCAAAAAATGTTAAAAAACATATATGTCAAAGTTAAGGATTTCATCTGTCTCATTCGACATCCTTATTTGATCCTAGTGGTGCAAATGAACCAAATCGAGTCTGAGGAGTAGACTGTGTATAGACTATCATTCAGTTACAAGGAGTGTTCAAGATTTTGACGACTTTCAAACATCTTATTGCAAATTGTCGGGTTTAGCCCATCCCGTTAAGCGAATCAAGCTCGAACACATTAGAGCTTACAAATTAAGTTCAGACTCATATTTAAGATCTAGTTCGACTAATTCAGAATGAGTATTCAATATTGGGGCAATGTCTGTCATTCTAAAGACAACAATTTTGTACCATTAGGATGACATATATCATTGTTTCATTGATTCATATTCCCCAAAAATGCAAATCATTACATTTAATATGTGTTTGAGTTAACAAACATAGATGAACGGAACAAGCAAATATTTGGGTTTGGCTTCGTTATTAAATGAAATTTTAGAATTAAGTTCGCGCTCGAACTTTCTTTGCTTTATAACTGAATGAACTTAGGGTGTATTTGGCAAAAGGGATAAAGTGGGATAAATCCAATTGGATTGGGTTTTCTTGTCCGGTGGCCCACAAATCCTTGATTTGGATTCATTTTTTTGTATGGGATATTTGTTAGGCTCGTTTCCTCGGCCCGTAGTAATTTCCCCCATTTATCCCTTCTGACCCGCTTTATTATATCCCATCATAACTTTGGGATTAGTTAGCTCAATGACCGAATTGGGCTTGTAATTACTAAACTATCCTCGTACAGTACCAATGGTAGGGTTTTTACCCCTCACCCATTTTTGTCTTCTTCACTGTACTTCTTCTCATTGGTCCTTCTTCTCACAAGCGGTGCCTAGTGCAAGGTAAATCTCTCTCTCTCTCTCTCTATATATATATATATATATATATATATATATATATATATATATATATATATATATATCTTGCTATCTGTGTGTGTGTGTGTGTGTATGTCTATGTATCTTGGTTTATATGTATATGTATACAAGATCTACAACCTGCAAACAAACCTCACCAAAGAGAAGGTTTCGGACAGTTTGATTTGTAGAGCAAAGGTCATTCCACATACACTCTCTCTGCCTCTTCGTGAAGACCTAGAAACTAAAACACTAGCCTAAGATTATTATTTTTTTTTTTAAAAAAATAATTCTGATTTTTTTTTCTCTCAACAAAAACAGGGATTAATTATGATCATATTAAAAAAAATTATTTAAATTTTTTTTTTTTTTTGATCATAGCCCGCATGCATGCAAGCAAAATGATGTTAATCATAGTTCAAGAATATCCAAGCCATTGACATGCAAATTCTTTTACCCATACAATCAAGAAATGACACCTCTCTCTCTCTCTCTCTTTGGGGGGGGGGGGGGGGGGGGGTGATTTATTGGGTTTTCTTAGTTGCAAAAAATTTTGCTTTGTGACATCTCCCAAAAAGTTTTGCTTTGGGTGAATGGTTTGTTCTATTTTAGTTCTGATTATTGTGCATTTTGCGATTACCATGTAATGCTTTTGGTTTTACTTCCATCCAACGTTCAATCTGTAATATTATCTGAGATAATTTTTTTCTTTCATTCAGAAAAATACTAGGAAAGCAAACATTTTTTGTAGTAATATGAAAAAAAAAAACTAATTTTATGGCTTCAAACTCATAAAATAGAATGACGTTTCTAAAATCTTATGAGCAAATTAATTAGATCAAAAATTTTTGGTATATCAAACATTAAAACCAAATTATTTTCGATTTGTGCACTTGGCAACATAGATGAAAATTTGAGTGAAGTTTAAGGTGGACAAAATAAATAATGTTGCCTAACCCAACATAGACTTTGGATTTGATAGTAGTCAAGGATAAAATTGTAATTTAATGTAAAAGGTAAGAGATTTTACACAAAAAAAAATGATTTTTTTGTGGACCTCATAAAATACAAAAGTATTTCCTAAAGCAAGAATTGGATTACACAACTTTATTAGTATTTTGTCTATATCTTCCGCACTTGAATTTTCATTAGATTAGTTTGGATTAAAAAACTAAATAAATCCTATCCCCCACGTGCTTGCCAACCACACCCTTAGAGGGGTACATTTTAATACAAGTGGATTGCAAACTATTCATTTGAAACTCGGTCCATTGACAATCCTATATGATCCATTACTACTTGCATGGAAGTATGGCTTACCCCAACTTTAATTGATCCACTAGGCTTGAATTCCCAATTCAGCATATAATCATAGTTGCCCACTGTTGAGACTGATCTCACCATCAAGCTAACTTCTCCTCTAACTTCCGTTATCTACAAAAACCACGTAAATCTTGAACAAACCATGAATTCATCTCGACATTCAACTCTGATACATTGGAAAATGACTTACCACTTCTCCGGGAATGCCGGTTTCGGTGTGACGCCACAATACATTTCCGGCATGTTGTTCGAAAATACAGAAAACATTTGATATCTTGACAGGTTTACCATCTTGTCCTGCATAGTAGCCATCCATGAAAACCGCATGGGCCGGGCAATCCTCCATGGGCTTGAGAGACACTGCTGATTGTCCGAACCCGAATTCGCCCGCATCAATAAATGTTTTGAAGTACCAATCCTCAGTTGGATCCATGTATGGAACGAACAGCTCCGATATGTATGCTCTATATAGCACCCTACGAAATTTGTGCTTCTCAAGATCGTATATGGAGGCCAGAGATATAATTGGGCCAGCCCTAACATCGAAGCCCAGATGAAAGGCCCAATTCGCCCACCTTAACACCATGAAAGATCGATGAAGTGGTTGATTAATTTAAAAATTGAAGTAAATATTGACATAATGATTATATCACATCGTCTATTCCTTCAAAAATAGTCATAAACTTTGGTTTTATTTATTTTATTTTTTTCTTTTGATTTGAAGTAAAAAAAACAAAGAAAACTTAATAATTACATCTTTTTCGTACGAGTTAACCTTATTCTTGAAAAAAACAGTTACTAAATGATTCCTCGGTTGTTTTTCTTTAAACATTTTCCTTGACATTCGAGTTCCAACTATAGTATCGAAAATGTATTTTTTTTTTAATATTACACATATTGTTTTCCACCAAACAAAAGCAAACGACAAGTAAAATTTATTATGGTATTAAAGTGGTACCAATTTTATTAATATACTGACACTGTGATGTTACATGGTTTGACATTGTTACCATATTATTGGCCCGATACGAAGCCATTGTTGAGTTGGACCAGTACTCATTGTGAACCCCACAATTCTTGTTGGACCAGTCACCTTTGTCTCATTGGGATCTAGTTTTCCATCCAATGCAAAGTCACATCAACCCAGATTACCAAGATAAGGTGATGGGAATTACACGAAAGCTATTGTCTGTCAATGCAACTAAGCTTTTATCGCTCAACTAAAGTTCTCGGAAAATGCTACACCACTCAAATGTAATTTAAAAAATTATAATTTTAATACTTATTATCTCTTAAATGAATGAATCTTACTCATGACGGTTTAGCTGGATAATAAATCGTGTTAAACAATCATCAATTCTACAAACTTAAAATTGTTGGAGAATATGTCCTTAGATATTTATATTTCAATACATTTTCTTACATGCGGATTAAATTTTGAGTCGAGCACGTGAAAATCTTTTAATTATTAGGGTGACAATGAGTTTTGAACCCAAAATTTTTTGTTCTAATACCATACTAAACAATCATCTATTCTACAATCTTAAAGTGTTAGAGAGAATGTAATTCAAGGATTTATATTAAAAAGTAATTTTTCGGTACCATATTATCAAGAATCACAATGAAAAAGTAATAATAAAATTGAAAATTGAAAAGTACCTTTTGGAAACCCTAAGTAGGACATAAGATAGCTAAGCTTGTATTGATACATGTTTATATTCTTCAACTTATGTAGGAGTTTTCTAGAGAGGGGTCATTGTGTTCTGCAACGGTAATACGTTAAACAAAAATCACAGTAATTGACAGCTCAAATAAGAGGGTAAGCACTTCGCACACATAGTTATTGTAAAAAAGGTTAAATTTACATTAAGTGTACTCGGATTAAAATTTTCTACAATATATATATTTTAAACTTTTTTTCTTGATAAATCATTTACAACTAATAAGTGAGAAACCCGAAAAACGGAAGGAGAATGTATTTGAGAAACTCAAGGATGGAACTAGGATTTAAAATTAAGAGAGGCCGAGCAGTGATATTCAATGAGATTATTATTTTATAAGTTATCGTTAATGTTAAATTTTTAGTTATGTGAAACTTATCAAAATCAACTTTAACACCACACATTACAATATTATCTATTTTTAATTAAATCGAGAGAGTTGATTCAATTATGTCCAATTAATTATAAATATCGATCAAATAATGATAATAAATAATTTGAACTTGATTTTATCTATGAATTACTTGTGTACTAAGTTCCAATTTAGTTTCATTAAATTGTCAATAATTTCAGTGCAAATTCATCAAAAAAACCTAAAAATTATAACTTAATACATGCTTTAGTACACAAATAGCCTATTTTTCGATTCACTTCAAAAAATTATTTAATAATTTTTTAAAAAAATAGATGCATTTATTTGAGAGGAGCCGCTGACAAAATACGAAGTTATACCCATAACATCGACTTGAATCAATGAATACCTAACTTTTTGGGACTTTCTATAACATCTTTGCCTTAAAAACAGTAATTATAATATTTTTGGAGGATCATTAAATTGTATATAATTGAATAATTTGCCCTTAGGCCCTGGAGATACTCTAAGATCAACCAAAACCATTCGGTAACAAACTTTTACAATTCAAACAAAGTGGATTAGAATAACTCAGAAGTAGTAGTGTATATTTAACCTTCAATTCAATCGTGTAAGGATGGAGTCACTGACCTTATACTATGCCCTTCTATAACAAACCCTGGGCCGTCTGGTTGCATAATCGTTGCACCATTTAGATGTGGACCGAACGGTGGCTTCTGTGCAGACAATCGATACTCAGTATCTTCTGCTTTTGGTACTGGAACTTTAAGATTGTCATAATATTCTTTAATCTTCATTTTATCTAGGTCAACCACCACTGTTATTCCCTCCAATGGCCTCACGTACAAGTTCACAGTCCCATCTGTATAGTAGCATTGAATTTTCAAAACCCTAGAGCTATTTCTCTCTCCAAACCACCCAACAGTGTAGCTAGAACATACCACCTCAGATATGTTGAGTCCTCTGACTTTAATTGACTCCATGAATGGAGGGTGAGTTAGTGGTAGTTCATTTGCAGCTGTTTGTTCTTCTAGGGTTAGTACAGGATAACCATGACCACAGTATACTTGATCGGATATTATGGATTTTGTTGATAAGTCGAGAATGATTTCATGGGTTTGTTTGTTAAGTCGAGTGATCACGAAGGCTCGTCGGGGTAGAGGCTTGGAGGTGGAGTTGTGGTTTGACAACCATGAGAGGATGTCTGGTTTGTCCGGCTCATCTAACCCTACGTAGTGGAACGTGAGGTTGTGGTTTGAGCCAGCATACGACCTTAGAATAATGGATTGTATTATGTTGAGCTCGGATGGGGTTAGAGGGTCTAGTGGGTGATAGTGGTGGTGGCGGTGGCGGTGGCTTGAGATAGGTGAGAAGGAGAAGATGGAGAAGAGAAAGAAGGCTAGCAGTTTCTTCAACGTTGGAGCCATGGCTTTGTATGGAAAAATGTGGTCTTTTTGTCCCTATAAGTAAGGGTTTCAACCCTACCTACCTGTATTAATCCTAAATGGGTGGAAAAGTATGGCTATATATGGAGAGCTATATAGCTCTTTTGCAGGGATATTGCTAGGATAAGTTTGTCACCAACCATCTTTAATGTGTTTAACCAACAAAACTTCCACGTGCAGATCTTTTGCGAGTGTAAATATATCTCTATTACCAATCAAACGTCTCCAATTTTCGCATTCCGTGAAGAAAAGATTGGGGATGTCTAGCTAAATAACCCAAATATGTTAGATGTTGATATGTTAGAACATCATTTGTATCATGGAAATAACTGATCATACATGCATGTTTTTTCAAATTGTCCGACATTTTTTATTGTCATATTCTTGTGCACGGACAAAATTCATTTTACCCTCGTAGCAATGTAATCGATTTGCAAATAATTTTCACATGTTTCATAAATATATGCATGGTCGGAGCCAAAAATTTTGTCCAGGGTGGGAACTTTACTTAGAGAATTTTTTTTATTTTCTCCAAATCAATAAAAATAAAATACTATATATAAATTTATTGGATTATATTTGATATTTAAAGATTCATAAAATACAAATGGGTCAAATCTTAGTAAATATAACATATAAAAAAGAGAGGCTAAACACAACCCTTCATAACAAATGAGACTAGTTGTATAAAAGATATTATAGTGTTTCTCCATATAACAAATCAAAGTATTAATCAATGATCACTCATTCTGTTTCGGAACCTAATTTTGACAATCTTTATAACTTAAAAAATGAGTTTGACATGCCAAAAACTTATCTAGATGCATCTATAAAGTATCCAAAGTACGTCAAAAAGTTCATAAGAATATATTAATTGATACAATAAAAAATGATAGAGTGGAGACACTTGAACATATTTAAAATTATTTAAAATATACATAAGTAATATTTTTTAAAAAAATATTACAGGGTGGGCCTATTTCATACACATATTAATGTTGCTTTATTTATTTATTTAATTTTTTTTCAAATTATTGTGAGACAGTTTTTTAATTCCTTATTTAGTTATTTATTTATTTATATATTTATATATCATTAGCGCTACCGTTAACACGTCTCCTCATTTATGTGTCCATGTAGTGTGCTATAACGCCAAAATACATACCAGATAGAATAGAAGGGCCTTCTTTATGGAGAATAGTGAAATGAGAACAACCTTTTAATTCTTGTGGTCTTCCGTCACACCCTTATTGGCGTATTATAGGCGTGTAATTTTTTTTTTTTTGGGTGGGGTTAAAATGTAAGTTGATAGAGTTATCATGTGTGATTCCAATATGAGTATAGTCACAGGATTTTTAATGTATGTGGTTAAATAATATAATTGAACTAGTTATTGTTTGTGCATGAAGGTAGAGAGTAATAAAAAATTATAAATAATAAATATATTTATATTTATATTCAAAATCAAATAACAAATATAGAAAAGAGATAAAGGAATTTAAACATCGATTTTATAGTAGGGGTGAGAGGTGGTGAGCGATAATGGTGGTGGTAGGTGGCAATGACCGTGGTGGCGGCGAAAGCGATGGTGGTGGTGGTAGCAGCGACGATGACAACGACGACGACAATAGTGGTAGTGATGCTGGCAGCAACGGTGATGTTGGTGGTAGTGGTGGTGGTGATGGTGATAGTAGTGGTGGTGGTGGTAGCGATGATGGTCGTGGCAGTGATAGTGGCGGTGGCGGTGGCGGTGGCGATGGTGACGACAACAATGGTGGTAGTGATAACGATGACGGTAGTGCGATGGCGGCGGTGGTGGCGATAGTGGCGACAATGGCATCGATGGTGGTGATGGTGACAGCGGCAACGGTGGTGGTGGCAGTGGGGGTGGGGGTGGTAGTAGCGAGGGTGGTGACAGCGACAGCTGTGGTGGTGGTAGTTGTGGTAGAGATAGTGATAGTGATAGTAGTGGGGCGGTTTCAAACACTATTTTTTTAAAAGTATTTATGATATATAATTTTTAAAAGTATTTTTAAAAAGTCACTCTAAATACATTTTTAGTGATCTATTTTTTCTATTATATTTAGGGTGTTAATATTAGTCATTCGATTTACTTTAAAGTAAAATTTAAAACAATTTAAACCGCGAGTAACAAAAATCATTTTATTTATCTTTTGACATTTGAATTATATAGATATCCGGAGAAGTTGTACCGGACACAGTGATCATGAATTCGGGCTTGCATGGTGGAGTTTTTTGGTGTAATCTTTGGAGGTTTATCAATGGGGCGGAGTATGCAACATCATTTTTGGCGGAGGTGATGGAGAGGGTGAGACAGAGGGGGTTGGTGGCACCAAAAATTATATATCGGACCACGGTAACAACAGGTGGATATGCAAGAAGATTAGCATATAATCCTTGAGTAATGTTACATGGACTCAAAAAATAGACTTAAAAATTAAATTTAATAATTTTAATAATTGATTTCTTTATAGGTTTAACCCATTACTTATTCAATGATTAAAATTATTAAATTTAATTTTTAAATTCATCTAATATTACTCGTAATCCTTCCAAAAAGATTTGGGTTGCTGTCTAGAGTTATCGATGGTTTTGACTTGACATATCGATTGATGAGGGGGAGGGACGGTGACTAGTACTTTGTGGAGCTCATGTTGTGTCACGTTCTTCTCAAAGCGCTCTGTAAAAGGTAGGAAAGCTGCAAATGTGGTGCTAAAATACGCCATTGGTGATATCTTGCTTTCTCTAAAGGTTAGGGGTGACACTGCAAAAATTATTTTTCAGTATTATACCAAAATTTACATATATTTTTTTGCATTAAGAGGCAATTTTTTTGGGTTAAACTGCAATACAATGGAATTGTTGGGATCGACTCCGAAATGACTTAATCTTAAAAAATTATATCTTGACCGAAAAATGTTGTAAATTTTGTCACCGTACCTCTTTCGGTATCGAAGTCTTACCCAAAGGTTGGAAGCCCAGAATGTTAAGAGAAATTTGCTGGCCTTGGTTGATTGATTGCAAGCTGGAACGATAAGGTTTGGCAAGAGAAGGTACTGTGTCCGGTCAAAGAAAAAGGTGATAATTTGAGGCATAATAATGGGGTATAATTTGAGGCATATACCCCATAGTGCATTTTTTTTTTTTTTTTTTTGGGGGGGGGGGCGGTTTGGGGTTCAGATTGTGTCACTAGGGCCATTACCAATGTGAAGTACATGAGGAGATGAATAAATTCATTATTTTTTTGACTTTCCTGTAATAAAGTTCCAATGAAATGAATTGGTTAAGCTTGGAATCTTTCACATTTACATGGTACCATGGTCTAATTACTTTTTTGCCACGATTATGATGTGTGAGATTTTTTTAAATATAATTTTTCTTCTCTCGGTAGATCATTAATGCATTCAAGTGAAATTTATTGTGTGAATTTCAAGAGTTAGTTCAAGTGATAACAAAGACGAACTATAAATTCAGATGTCTTGAATTCGAATTTTGACAATTTCTTGGGATCAGGTCATGCGAGATTATCTCTCATTAACATCTTATTTTCAGCGTGGATGATATGTCTTTAACTGAATTAGGAAAGAGATTAATCAAAGTGTATATAAATTGGTGATCAGAACTTGTTATATGCAAGCAGATCCCTTAATCATTGATGATTGATGACCCGTGAATAAGAAAATTAAAGAAAAAAAAAGTGTTAAAGGAGAAGTGAATCCTCTATTATCATTAGCATGAAAAAAACATGTGGCAATTTCTTTTCAGTTTTTACTCTTTTTTGATGGGGACATAAAATAGAATCTTGTCCACTTTGTTTTTTTGTTTGAAGTGTTCACATGGAAGAGTACAAATGTCAAGGATGTTGAAGGTGCCATTAACTTAGCAGATAAGTAGTATCTTGGAGGGTATTTTATGTTTAATGCTATGTGAGGGTCCTTTATTACAAGTAATTGAATGACATATTAGGCGGATCAATTTGGGCATGAGGGTGTTACTCCAGCTGAGTTTGATGAATAAGTTTAATTTTGACCGTAAGTGTCGAGTTTGAGTTGAGTTTAGATTCATGTTCAAACTTTTAGAAGTTTGTGAAAATTCAAGCCTGATTTCTCTAGAGGAAGAGAAAAGAAATATGGCTTAGAGTTATTTGAGAATAAGTTGTAAATTGTTTGTCTCTTAGATGTTGATTATTTGATGAAAAAATTAGAATTATTTATAGATAGAAACTTATTCAAGTCAAGTCAAACAATCTATTGTGTAGATCTGTTCATTTAAAAATAAGTTTACAAAATCTGCTAAAATTCGATAAATTTTATAATTTCAACGAGTTTAAACAAAAAAAAAACCAAGCCAAGTATTGAATTGTTTAACAACCCCACTTTGGGGCATGTGATGGGGAGGGAGAGGGTGGATGGGAAATGTTGTTTCGATCTTAACCCCTTAACTACTACAATCAATGAAGAATTATGAATTCCTATTATGGACCATAAGATGCCCACATATAATTGAGATAATATGACGATTGAACATTTAGGTGTCTGGTCAAAAAAAAAACATTGATGTGAAATATCGAGGCAATGGAACAGTAAATATTCTTTTTTTTTTTTTTTCCAATGGCAACATTATTTTGATTTAATTTGTTAACATAATTTGTTGATTTAATCTATCACAATTATTGGATCGATCCTTTTCAATTTGAACAATTTTTGCATACTTGAATTCTACACTGATTAGAGAAATTCTGAATTGAAACTTGCAGTGTTTTTTCATGCTGCATCTGGTTATGGCAGACCTTGCTAGTGCGAGATTACACTACATCTGACCCGACCAATGACCCACAGTCCGACCCATAATCCATGACACAAGTAATAAAATAAATGTGTTTAGTGGTTCTTGCATGTTAATGTGTGTGTAGTTTTGGAATATTTTTTTTAACAAGGAAAAAAGAGAAGGGGCGACTAATAGGTAATGACTCTCTTTGGCCGACCAGTAGGTATTAGTGTGTGTTTTGGTATATGAGGGTCTCATAACTGTGGAATATTCGGTTTGAACTATAACTATTAACTCGGAGAGCAACTTGTCACCATAGCACCACCAACGTCACGAATCGAACTCTGCTTGATAACTATATTGGAGTTAAGGATTATTCTAAACATGTACGACTTACCACTAGACCATCAGTTTGTGTGGTTGTATTTTAGTATATTAGTGTATGTATTAGTATGTTTTTATATTAAAAGTTTTAATTATTTTACGGGTTAATAGGTTTAACATAACCTGTTTTGATCTAATCTATTATAACATATTTATTAAACAGGTTAAAAATAGATGGATTTATTTTGCACTCAACCCATTTTGAACCAACCCACCACTTTGCCTATTTGTAATTTTTAATTGGATAGTGACACTATGTAACGATGATAACGTGATGTTATCGTTGCAATGCATAGTTTCTCCAAAGGGAGATATGTCAAGTACGTGTTCAGCTACAACAATGAATTTTTTTTTTTATCGTATCTTTTATTTTTCACTAATCAAATCAATACATGTGATAAGTTTTTTTGTATTTTATTATTTTATTGTTGTTTATCATTTTAATGGTTAATGACTAAAAACAGACTAGATTTAAAATAATTTCGACCAATGGTGCTATAGTAGTAAATGTGGATTTGATCCATATTTTTGGTTAGCCTAGCATTATTCTTCCTATTGTGTGATTAGGATCGTAGAGGATCCTTTATATTAGGGCTTGAAAAAAATAAAAAAGATTGAAATATTAGGCTTGTGAGGCCCATGGACTGGAGCCCATCAGACAAGCCCATGATAAAGCTATTGGCTGAATAGAATCCCAAATAATAACTGAAAATAGATTCATATTTTTTTAGGATTAATCAGTTCGTAAAATATAAAACTTATCTCATTTTGACCCCTTAAAGTATTGAATTTTCATGGGATACCCAAATATGAGTAAAAAGTAATTTGGATAGCTCTTGACCAAAATTTGGATAGCTTACGATCAAAATTATATAATTTTGATAATTTTTTGATCAAAATTTGAGTAAAAATTTGGTTAAGAGTTATTTATATTTTTTTTACTCATATTTAAGTATTACGTGACAAGTTTATAATAACAAATCGTCAGCAATCTAGACACTGTCTGCTTGAGGGACCACATATAAATATATTAAATACTTCAAGAACAAAATGATGTAAATGAAATATTAGAGATCAAAATAAAATAAATCTCATACTATGGGAACTTCCAATGTAATTAACCTTTTTAAAAAAACACTCTTTTAACTTGTCAAGAAATACTCGATGTATGAACATAGTGTTAACCCTCTCTGTTTTTTTTATTTATTCTGCTTTCCTTTTGGGTTTTGGCCATACTTGCAGTTTCAGTTTCTCTTTCTGTGCACTTTTCACATTGGAAAAAAGATTATATAGGTATGCAAAAAGAAGAAGCAGAAGATTTAGGGTTACATCCCCGGATGAACATTCTAGGTGTAGCCTGTAGGGAGTACTATATTGTACATATCAGGTCGTTTGGTTGCAATAATAAAAAAAAATTAAATTGTCAATAATTTCAATGCAAATTCATCAAATAATCTAAAAATTATAACTCAATACATACTCTACTACACAAATAGCTCATTGTTTCCACTCAGTTCAAAAAATTATTTAATAATTTTCAAAACGAATAGATACATTTATGCGAGAGGAGCCGCTAACAAAATACGAAGTTATACACATAACATTGACTTGATTGATTACCTAATTTTTTGGGACTTTCTATAACGTCTTTGTCTTAAAAAAATAATTATAATATTTTTGGAGGATCATTAAATTATATATAATTGAATAATTTGCCCCCCTAGGCCCCGGAGATACTCTAAGATCAACCAAAACCATTCGGTAACAAACTTTTACAATTCAAACAAAGTGGATTAGAATAACTTAGAAGTAGTAATGTATATTTAACCTTCAATTCAATCGTGTAAGGATGGAGTCACTGACCTTATACTATGCCCTTCTATGACAAACCCTGGGCCGTCTAGTTGCATAATGGTTGCACCATTTAGATGTGGACCGAAGGGTGGCTTCTGCGCAGACAATCGATACTCCGTATCTTCAGCTTTTGATACGGGAACTTCAAGATTGTCATAATATTCTTTAATCTTCACTTTATCTAGGTCAACCACCACTGTTATTCCCTCCAATGGCCTCACGTACAGGTTCACAGTCCCATCTGTATAGTAGCATTGAACTTTCAAAACCCTAGAGCTATTTCTCTCTCCAAACCACCCAACAGTGTAGCTAGAACATACCACATCAGATAGTTGAGTCCTCTGACTTTAATAGACTCCAAGAATGGAGGGTGTGTTAGTGGTAGTTCATTTGCAACTGTTTGTTCTTCTAGGGTTAGTACAGGATAGCTATGACCACTGTATAGTTGATCAGATATTATGGATTTTGTCGATAAGTCGAGAATGATTTCATGGGTTTGTTTGTTAAGTCGAGTGATCACGAAGGCTCGTCGGGGTTGGGGATTGGAGGTGGAGTTGTGGTTTGACAGCCATGAGAGGATGTCTGGTTTGTCTGGCTCATCTAACCCTACATAGTGGAACGTGAGGTTGTGGTTTGAGCCAGCATACGACCTTAGAATAATGGATCCTATTATGTTGAGCTCGGATGGGGTTAGAGGGTCCAGGGGGTGATAGTGGTGGTAGTGGCGGCGGCGGCTTGAGATAGGTGAGAAGGAGAAGATGGAGAAGAGGAAGAAGGGTAGCAATTTCTTCGACGTTGAGGCCATGGCTTTGTATGGAAAAGTGTGGTCTTTCTGTCCCTATATGTATTGGTTTCAACCCTACCTACTTGTATTAATCCTGAATGGGTGGAAGTATGGCCTTAGATAGATAAGTGTATGGCTCTTTTGCAGGGATATTGCTAGTATAAATCTGTCACCAACCATATTAATAATGTGGAAAAGTATGGCTTTATATGGAGAGGTATATGGCTCTTTTGCAGGGATATTGCTAGGATAAGTTTGTCACCAACAATCCTTAAGGTGTTTAACCAACAAAACTTCCACGTGCAGTCTTTTGCAAGTGTAAATATATCTCTATTACCAATCAAACGTCTCTAATTTTCGCATTCCATGAAGAAAAGATTGGGGGTGTCTAGCTAAATAACCCAAATATGTTAGATGTTGATATGTTAGAACATCATTTGTATCATGGAAATAACTGAACATACATGCATGTTTTTTCAAATTGTCCGACATTTTTTATTGTCAGATTCTTGTGCACGGACAAAATTCAATTCATTTTACCCTCGTGACAATGTAATCGATTTGCAAATAATTTTCACATGTTTCATTAATATATGTATGGTAGGAGCCAAAAATTTTGTCTAGAGTGGGGACTTAGAAATTTTATTTTATTTTCTCCAAATCAATAAAAATAAAATAATATATATATATAAATTTATTGGGTTATATTTGATATTTAAAGATTCATAAAATACAAAGGGGTCAAATTTCAGTAAATATAACGTATAAAAAAAAGAGGCTAAACACAACCCTTCATAACAAATGAGACTAGATGTATAAAGAATACTATAGTGTTTCTCTATATAACAAATTAAACTATTTGATGGCGTATGAAACGTGGGTGATCAGAATGTGGTGTACTAGAATAAGGTCTTGTCTAAGCTACTGGGCTTAGAATGTTAAGAATAGATTCTGATGGGGTTGGGGATGATTTGTACAATGAAGTTATAGTGATTTATTAGCTCGGGAGCTCGACTAGTTCACTTTTCAATGGAGTCCTTTGCTTCTTCAATCTATATTTCCCTTATATACGATTTACAGAGTATTTTTGGTACAATTGGGATTTTTTTTTCCTATTAGAGGCACTATACAATATTTATAATCCAATTTTAACCTCTATGGGATTTGCATTGAGATTTTCCCCTTATCTACGTAGGATCTCCCTTGATTTTGGGAGATGATCTTGAGTCAGTTGAGAGTCCTGTGCCTTGATTATAACCTTCTAGTGCTAGGGTCGCTTTCTATTAACCAGTTGTTTCCTTCACACTGCCCTTATTACTCCCCCGAGGAGAGCTTGAGGTATGGGTCACTGGGAGCTCGAGGTCGGGACCAACGAGCTCTAGACCTCCTTGCCTAACCTCACTTCCTGAGCTCACATTTCGCTCGAATTCTTTCTAGGTATCATCACTATTAATCATTGATAACTCATTCAATTTTGGAACCTAATTTTCACAATCTTTATAGCTTAAAAATGAGTCTAACATGCCAAAAACTTATCTAGATGTATCTATAAAGTATTTAAAGTGCGTCAGAAAGTTCATAATTATTTAAGTATGAGAATATATTAATTGATAGAACAAAAAATGATAGTGGAGGCACTTAAATATATTTAAAATATACATAAATAAAATATTTCAGGGTGGGCCTATTTCATACACACGTTAATGTTGCTTTACTTTTTTTTCTTTTTTTTTTAATTCCTTTCTGGGTATGTGCAGGAATTGATTGATTCCTATATCAATACCTTTTTTTTTAATCAACTTGAGCTTTTATCAGAATTTATCCCCTAGATCCTCTAAAAGCATTAATGTATAGAGGTTGTAATAGAAATATTTATTCAACCCCTCAAGTGGACCGATCTTGGTTGATCTGTCCAAATGATATTTGAATTATAAGAATAAATTCAACTAAGCTCCATCTCATGCTATTCCAAATAAATATCAACCTCTTATTTCTTGCCTTGCAACATAGTGCATGGATGGAATGATGCTGGTTCAAAGTATTGACCTATAGCGGAATAATTCAGTTGAATCATATTTAAATTAGCATATTCTATTTCGATATTGTTCTATATTTTGTGTAAACTGTGAGTCTAACACGACTCTCTGAGTTGTTTGAGACTGACACCACGCTTTTCTTCCAAAACAGAAGATGGTTAGAAGATCTTAATGCAATAATACACCATATTTTCACGAGCAAACCTAATTTATTGACCTAATACATTATGATATTTGGATTGACTGTGGGGTCTATCAAATATTAGAACTTGAGGTTGATCCAATTGTACTGTTGAAGTCACATCATTATATCAGCAAATTAAGTCAAATTTTTAAGTCCAAATAGTATTACTCTATTTTCACAATAGAGACAAAGTGCACCATGCAATGTCATTGACTCCTTTATTACAGCTACTAGAGATAACATTAAGGCAACAAATTTAAATCCAATAGATTAGCACAGCCAAAGTGCAGGATGCAAAAAGAATCAGATCTCTTAATCACAATTAGGGAAAGACTGCTATTCAGGGTTTGAGATTGAACCTAGAAGTTGCTCATGACATTTTTAGATTGACCCTAACTTTTTGGAGATGTACCTTGAACCAAATTGAGTCGTAATCTCATCTTTATTTTATAATAACTTTCAATACAATATTAAACTTAGTACCATGAACGTTTTCAATTAATTATAACTAATAGCAACAAAGCAAATATGAGTCACAACACAAAACGGAGAATTAGACTCCGTGAAATGCACCGGCTCTTCTATTATGGTTGATCGAGTTAACTAGAATCTCGGGAGATTTTGTTTTTAGCACTGGATTTCGCTCGAAGAAATTGGCCGGCCGGAGCTCAAACCCGCTGCTGAGTGTCGGCATAATCGGAAAGTCTTCTTGGTAGGGTGCGTGATGAAAGCCCATGGTGTACCACATCACTATGTCCTTGTTTTCAATCTCCCTATTCCTGCATATTCAAAATCATACTAAGAATTCAATATGACGTACAGTCGCAAATAACTTCATAGGAGGTAAATCAAGCCGAGCTTATCAAGGTTGACTATGATCAAACTTGGTTTGGTTGTGATTGACTGAACTCAAGTTTCACTAGGGTTTTGTTGTTAAGCCTATATTTTTATTCAAGTTTGGTGAGTCAAGTTCGAGCTGAAATGGAACCTATTTTTCTCATAAAAATGCCTAAGAATTCAACTGTAAAACTTAGTAATCAATTCTAAAAAATCAATTTTTAAATAAAAAACTTTGGAGAACGGAAAGGGAGGTGTATAAAATCTGGGATTAATTGTGAATAAGTTTCAAGTTATTGGTCTTTCGAACAGAATTTGTTTATACATAATAACATTTGAACCGAGCAGACTATGTGACTCGAGCCGCATGGGACTTGGATTAAGTTATTGAACAAAACCGAATTTAAAACTTTAATCAACTTTAGTTTATTTTTTAATTTGATGATGTAAAACTAAGTGGAGCCTGAGCTACTCGAATTGTTTAACAACCTAGGAATATACGGCTATGGCTCGTTTTTTCAAATAAATTTAAAAAATTATTCTGACTCAATTCGTTTAATACACGAGTCGATCTCTGGTTAAGTTTTATCTAAGTCGAGTCCGAATTACTTGTCTTGATTAACACTCTACGTGTGGCTTCCATATTATGACTTTTTTTCGGTAAGTACTTTCATATTATAAGTTTGTAACTTTGATATGATGGTAATATAACACATTTTGGTACCTGAGGCTCCACATAGCCAATGTATCTTCTCCTCGGCTCTGATCAGCGTACAATCCTCCTGCCCATTTCTCAGACTTGTTGTATGGAGTGACCCAAACATTGTACTTGGTGAAGGCCCCTCGGATTTGTGGGTAATCATCATCTGACAGAAGAGGACTTGTCATTGATCCTGGAATCAACCTATACCCAATAGGGTTCCCAACCTTGGTCTTTTTATTCTGGTTCGACACCACTAGGTCAGCTGGTTTCAACCCTAGCCGGATTCGAGCCTCGGACTCAGTTTTTGCCGTCTCACTGGTGGTCGTCCAATAACTCCGCCTTGGAGAGACATTGTCGGTCACTCTTCGGGTCTCTAGGCTGGTTTTGACAAAGGAATTCGCTTCACCATCCACATCAAGGTCAAGATGGTATGACAAGAAGTGGTCATGGTATACGCCTATTGTGTTTTCGGCCACTAATGTGCCATGGACGTCCTCCTTTATTTGATCTGCGTGGGTATAAGACATCCCCTTTACTTCCAGGATACCAGTGAGCCCTACCTGTTGAAACCAAATATTGTTGGAGCAAGGGAACCATTCATATCAAGTTCAATGACATTAGTCTATCTCTCAAGCAGTAACCATGTATGATTACAGCTCAAATGGTTGAGCTGTTTATAAACAGTGAGGGATTGTTTCAATAACAACTTAGTATAGTCGATTCGAGTTCGAGTTCAAGTTCGAGCTCAATTTTAAGTCAAGCTCGAGCAATGATTTATTTAGCATCTTTTGGCTCACTCATACACATGCGCGGGTCAAGCTTGATTTTGAGCACAGGTTCTAACTAGAGTTTAAGTATGAATAAAAGCTACCACTTGGTTTGTTTAATCAACCACGCCGAGCTCAACTGAGATCTTGTTTGGGGCAAAACCCCAAAAAATGGAGCTTGAACAAATTATTTGAAGCTAGTCGCCATTATAACCTAGTGCCACTAGCTAAGCACCTCAACAATTAAGTGCACAGCTTGACTTAGTCTAATGCATTTGCACCCGTCTAAATGTAAGATCTGTTAATACGTGCATGGAACTATGGCTTACCGAAACTTTGATTGATCCACTGGGCTTGAACTCCCAGTCCATCATATAGTCATAGTTACCCACGGTTGAGACTGATCTCACCACCAGGCTAACCTCTTGTCTAACCTCCGTTATCTACAAAACCAATTAATCATTTCATAAACAACGTATTCATCTCGACATCCAACTGTAACACGTCTGAAAATGACTTACCACTTCTCCGGGAATGTCGGATTCGGTGTGACGCCACATGACATTTCCGGCGTATTGCTCAAATATACAGAAGACATTTGATATCTGTACAGATTTGCCATCTTGTCTAGCATAGTAGCCATCCATGAAAACCGCTTGGGCCGGGCAATCCTCCATTGGCTTCAGTGACACTGCTGATTGTCCGAACCCAAATTCGCCCGCGTCGATAAATGTTTTGAAGTACCAATCCTCGGTTGGATCCATGTATGGAACGAAGAGCTCCGATACGTATGCTCTATATAGCACACGACGATACTTCTGCTTCTCAAGGTCGTATATTGAAGCCAGGGATATAATTGGACCAGCCCGAACATCAAAGCCCAGATGGAAAGCCCAATTGGCCCACCTGCCCACCATGAAAGGTTGAAGATTGCATAGTTATATTTATATATCTCCAAATTTACAACACAACTAGCAATTAATTAGACAGGAAATTTATCAATTGTTATTAAAACTTTCAAACCAGTAAGAAAGTTGAGAAATAAAACGAGCTGTGTTCGGTTTATACAAAAAATTACTTTAAAAATAAAAAATAATAAAAAGACATTTTGAAAAAAAAAATGAAATTATTTTTGGTTAATTTCTTTTGTTGAGTCAACTCTTTTTCGTTCAAAGCATAGCCACATTACATATGAGTTATCATTTATGTTGCAATATATACTTATACGTGTGTGTTACATGAAAAAATCATCAATCTTTCTATTATTTTTTGTGTTTGATTTAAAGAAAAAGTTTTTTAAAAAAAAACATAACTTAAATGTATGACTGTATGGAATAATGCATATGTGTGTGTTTCGGAGAATGATTTAAATGTCAAGACATGTATGTTTCTTCTTTTTTTTTAATCGTGTCCTCTAATTTTTCGCTTTATTTAAGAAAAAAAGAAAAAGAAGAAGAAGTGAATGTTACAACAGATACTTATCTCTCTTATTTCGACCAAAAAAGACCTTCAAAAATGCTAGCAAATGATGTCTTAGTTTTTCCTTTAACATTCAATGTGGATTATCAAACTAAGACTTCACATAAAGCTCATATGAACAGTGTTTAGCATCCATGCACGATAGACGCGCTACTAAGACAGAGAGAGGAGAGAGGCTACTTTCGAACAACCACACTAGCAAGCATTTGCTGCTTCGGATCCTTGACAGTGATAAGAGATGATTACTTCAAGGGTTAGCTTAACCGGTAATAAGGACGAATTGTAAATCTAAATATTCTGAATTTGAATTTTAACAGTTTTTTGAGGCAAAATCATGAGAGATTTATCTCTCATAAATACTATAGTCTTAACAAAAATGACCAATTTTTGATTAGACTAAAAAAAAGATTAGTCAATGTGCGCATAAACTGATCTGAACACCCTTGATAATTGAACCAAAAAAATAAGTGATAGCAGATGATTTACCCATTGTGAAGCACATGTTGACAACTGCACCCATGGAGCTCAAGTATGAGGATAAGTACTTCGCACATATAATAATTGTGACAAAAAAAAGTTAGTTTTATACTCAGTTCTTCCCGATCAAAATTTCCCCAATACTTTTTTTTTTTTTGATAAATCATCTATCATTAATAAGTGAGAATACCACTTAAATATAATGGATCCCACAAAAATAAATGAATGATAATCCACCAATAAAAAAAATAGAGAGAGAATTTATTAGATATACGCTCAAATCAGCCAAAACCATTTCGTAATGGACTTTTACAATTCAAACAAAGTGGATTAGACTAACTTAGAATTTGTAGTGTTAAAAATAGCCTTCAATTCAACAGTGTAAGAAAAATATTATTTGGACTTAATTACAAATACTTATTTGAACTTAATTTACTCACCTTGTTGTTTATCTAATGCATCTTATACTCATTGAATTGATAATTATTCTCAATCAATAAATAGTAGAGTTTATTATCAATCTACAGTTAAGATTGATTCGTTTGTAAACAACATCAATAAATTAGATTCAAGTCACGGCGTAAAGACAGACCTTATACTGTGCCCTTCTATAACAAACCCTGGACCTTCTGGTTGTAGAATGGTTGCACTGTTTAGGCGTGGACCGAATGGTGGTTTTTGCTTAGACAATCGATACTCAGTATCTTCAGTTGTCGGTACTGGAACTTTAAGCCTATCATAATATTCTTTAATCTTCATTTCATCTAGGTCAACCACCACGGTTATTCCCTCCAATGGCCTCACGTAAAAGTTCGCAGTCCCATTTGTATAGAAGCATTGAATTTTCAAAACCCTAGAGCTCTTTCTCTCTCCAAACCACCCAACGGTGTAGGTAGAACAGACCACCTCAGATATGTTGAGTCCTCTGGCTTTAATAGACTCCATGAATGGAGGGTGTGTTAGTGGTAGTTCACTTGCAGCTGTTTGTTCTTCTAGGGTTAGTATAGGATAGCCATGACCACTGTATATTTGATCGGATATTATCAATTTTGTCGATAAGTCGAGAATGATTTCATGGGTTTGTTTGTTAAGTCGAGCGATTACGAAGACTCGTCGGGGTAGGGGCTTGGTGGTGGAGGTGTGGTTTGACAGCCATGAGAGGATGTCTGGTTTGTCTGGCTCATCTAACCCTACGTAGTGGAACGTGAGATTGGGGATTGAGCCAGCATACGAGGTTAGAATAATGGATCGTGTTATGTTGAGCTCGGATGGGGTTAGAGGATCTAGTGGGTGGTGGTGGTGGTGGGTGGTGTGGCTTGAGATACGTGAGAAGGAGAAGATGGACTGAGTTGAATGAAAAAGAAAGAAAAAAAAGCAAAAGGAGAGGATGGACAAGGGGAAAACTGGTAGCAGTTTCTTCAAGGTTGGAGCCATGGCTTTGTATGGAAAAGTGTGATGTTTCTGTCCCTATATATATGGGTTTCAATCCTACCCGTCTTAATCCTAAATAGGTGGAAAAGTATATCTTTATATGGAGAAGTATGGCTGTTTAATTAGCATGGATATTCCTACTGTAATTTTGTCACCAACCATCTTAAATTCTTCTAACCCACAAAACTTCCATTTGCAGCTCTTTTCTACATCTTTTGAAATTGTAAATATTCAATCCAACAATGATATCTCCTTGTATCACCAATTAATGTTAGAAAAATGTTATAAACACCTAATTTCGGAACTTAACTAAACAACAAATTCATTGCGGTCACTGTATTAGTTATGATTTTCAATGTTATATGAAATTTACTTTTAATCTAATAACTCTAATAAATTAAGTCATCAGATTAAATCTTTGAGTTAAGTTCAAATAACATTTTCTTTGCTAATGACGACTTAGCGGTTTAGAGCCTCAGGAAAAAATCACCAGTCTCGAATTTTCACATTCCATGAAAAAAGATAGGGGTTGTCTAGCTAAATAATCCAAATATATGTTAGATGTTTTATCACCCAAATCATAAGTCTGTAATTTTCATATTCATGTGCAAGGACAAAATTCATTTGAGCAATGTTATGTACACAAAAATTGTGCACCAAATAATTTACAGACATTGGATCAATGGTTCCCCTCATTAATTCAACGACAATAATTGATTTGATACAAATTTTGATGCACAAATTTAGTTCACACGTAGAATTATTCAATTCATTTGACCCTCTTAGTGATGCGATTGGCTTTACAAATAATTTTTTTTGTGTTTCATAAATGAATATACGCATTACCTGTGGGTGTTAAGGAAAGTGCAATATTTAACATAGTTGACAATTTTTTATTTTTATTTTTATTTTTTGTTACAGTGTATTTGCTCCGATTACTCTTTCGAGTTCAATGACTAACTACCATGACTTGAGTTTATATAGAGCATGTCCTCAAAAAAACAAGGATAGCTAACCCTTATGCTCCATTTAGTACGATAGAAAAATGGAAGGATGAAAAATTAGAAGGATGAAAAAGTGAATTGATGAGTTTTCCTTCCAACTCATCAAAATTAATTCCTCTAAAATTGGAAGAAAAGTGGATGAAAAATTAATTATTTGTATTAAAATGTATCTTATTTGTCTATATATCTTTTGATATATACATATATTATGTATACATTAATTTCATATATAAATATAATAATAATATATGTATTTATACTTTTTTTTAAAAAATAAAACTTAAAAATTAAAAATTAAATAAAAATTTAAAAATATTCTTTCCATCTTACCAAACACAAAAAAAAAAAATTAATTATTTTTATTTTTCAGTCATCCTATCAAAAATAAAGAAAAAAAAGTGTATCATTTCTATATTCATTCATTAGAAGATAAAAAATGAATCTCTTTTACTTTTCATCTTTTACTTTCCATCCTTCTTATCAAATAAAACATTAAAAAATATAAAAAAGAATTGAATTTGATATCCCTAGATTACCGGATAAAAGACTCAACCACTGAACTGTCAAATGATTGGCTCAACCGCTAAAGTACTTCTAAAGATTACGTAGGTGACAATTTAAGATCAAAAGATAAAATAACTTCATATGTAAAAAATAATAATTTGTTAATAGGCTATGATACCGGGCCATTTTGACTCTTTATTTTAGTTAGACTTTTCATTATATATTTTTTGATATTTGGGCTAATATCACTTTTGATTTTTAAAGTATGACTATTTTGTCAATTTAGTCTTTATTATATTAATTTTTTTAATTTAATTTTTAAAATATTCAATTTATGCTTAAATAGTCCCTAGCAAAACGGCTAGTTAATTTATTTGACGAAAGTCACCACGTGTTATTCTTTCAGACAATATCACGTGACTAACATATGATCACTTTTGTAACAAACTTAATGGACCGTCTTTATGACAACCATTTAAACACATATTAAATATTTTAAAAATTAAATTAAAAAAATTAATGCAATGAAGATCAAATTGACAAAATATATATTATCTTAGGGACTAAAAATATTATTACCCTTATTTTTTTAAATATTTCCTTCACGTGTATTTGCAGGAATAGATCAATTGAAAACAAAGACATAGTGCTGGAAGTATTAAAAAAAAACAAAGACTTAGTCCTGGAATCTAATCCACACAGCACAAATTTAGGGTCAAATATTATTTTATGTTATTTTATTGGGCAAAATTCAGTTGATTCCCTTGTGATTTGGGTGTTTTGCACATGACCCTCCTATGATTTAAAAATTAGCACATTACCCCCTTGTACTTTTGGACCGATATGCACAATTAACACCGTAAACAAAAGTGATAAAATGACTTTAATACCCTCAAACTATTCATCATCTTCTTCCTCCCTCTCAATTGTTGTCTAATTTTCTGAAAAATTAACCAACCACTCAACTTTACAAGTTTTTCTCTCTCTCCACAAAGCACAAAACTTCCTCAAACTAATGCTAATATCCTCCACTCTCAACCTAGTTTTAAACTCCACAGACTTGTTTCCTTAAATAGCTCCCATGACCCACAAATTTACGCACAAAGGTAATCATAAACTCATTTTACCAGGTTATGTACATACCAAATTTTTTTCAACATTTGGGCCAACTTTAGCCTTTAATTTCTCCCTATTTTTTCAACATTTTTGGGTGATTCAAATGCCTAAATTTAACCTTTTTCTACCCTCTTTCCAACCATGTATTTAGTTTGTCCAGATCTTGCACAAGGTAGGTGGAAATCGAGCTCCAAAGTGACGGGTTCATCATTTTTAAAAATTGTCACAATTTTTAATTCAATTTTTCACCCACCAAACCTCTTTCTTTCTCGATTCTAAATTCAAAAATGGATTCCTTGACCCTAAAAATGCTGGATTAGGTCCCCCTTCACCTCCAAAACTTGAAATTTTGAGTACCCAAAAATTCAAGTTTCAAGGTTAAACAATGATTTTAATTTTTTTTCTCACTATACACTATAGCCACTAAAGAAACTTTAGGAAATTGTTACTGAATATGAAACAAGTTTACCCTATCACAGAATTGTGGATGATGTCTTGTAACAAAAGTTCTCTTTGCTTAGGTTTTACAATACTACTCATTTGCAGAGCACAAACTTAAACCTCCAATCACTCTAATCGAAGCTGGTGTATAGACTTTTTCAAAGTCGGTTTACCTATGTCGATAGTATATTTTTCAGACTTTCATGAAGCAAAGATTGAGCATAGCCATGGATGTCAACGACGTCGAAGCATTCAAGTTCTCTAAGCGAGAAGCCCAGGTATCGCACTTGTCGATGAGTTGGACATTAACTTAGCCACAAGACAGGGTATACCTGAGAGAGAGAGAGAGAGAGAGAGAGAGAGAGAGAGAGAGGGTTGTGGTGGGTGGAACTTGCAAAGACCCTCTGAGTTGAGAGAATGAGAGGGACTGCCAAAAGAAAAGAGAGAAAGGGACATAAAGCTTGAGAGTACTTTGGAACTTTTAACATATTTCGTGTATACCAAATTGCACAGCAGGCGCGTGAGGTATACAAACCGTTAAATTGGATAAAAAAGTTGATAGTGCATTTTAGTCCAACAACTATACGGGGTAATGTGCTATTTTCAGAGCTCAGAGGGGTTATGTGCAATTAGGGTAAACCATAAGGGGGTAAATTGAAATTTACCTTATTTTATTTCATTACCAACCTTATTTCAGTTGATTAACGTCAATTGGTCATTATATATATATATATATATATATATATATATATATATATATATATATATATATATATATATATATGCACATGGGTAATTATTAATGTTTTCCAATTGGTCAACTGTGTAGTTCGCAGTTTTTAATGTTTAGAAGAATATTGTTAATGGGCTATTGTAACAATGCACGTGTGGTTGGTGTTACGTAGAGGCAACATTGGCTTTATGATTGTAAATTGTATTAAATGTCTCTAAAATATAGATTTTATCTCATTTTTGTTATTAAAGTATTAAATATATTTTTATGTGATTTCTCCAGTACACAACGTTCAAATTACTAATAATTTTTATTATAAATTTGCCACATAAGTAAAAATATAATTTCAATAATCTTTGATCAAATTTTTACTCAAAATTTGATCAAAGAGCTACCCAAATTACACAGTTTTGATCATAAATTATTCAAATTTTGGTTAAAAGTTACCCGAATTATTTTTTGTTCATATTTAGGTATCACGTAACAAGTTTATGATAAAAAATCTTTAGTAATTTAAATGATATCTGTTTGAATGACCACATAGAAACATATTCAATACTTCAAAGGCCAAAATGATATAATTAAAATATTAAAGGCCAAAATGAGACAAACTTCATATTTTGGGGACCTCCATATAACTAACCCTTAAAAAAAACCAAAAAAAAACTTAAGTATTTTAAAAATAGAAAAAAAAAAAAAAAGGGTTTCTCAAGCCGTCTCTCTAATTTAATTTTTATATTACCATAGATAAATACTTCTAGTATACAAAATAAGATGCTTAGATGATAGCGAAATAAAAGAAAAAGTCTTCTCTCTAATTTAATTATGGGATGTTTGTTCATATTTAGAAAGATTTTCGATCCTCTTTAGTGTTTTTTTTCTCAAAGCTAAATCTCTTTTCATACAATATACAAGTGGACCGCTCACCAACGCACAACAATAACCTATCATTTTGGAAATTTGTAGTAGAGGTAATATGGAAGCATTGATGCAATTTTAAAACCATATGTTCTTTATTTTTTTTCAACTATTAGGAGTTTTTGAGTCAGTTTATGCGTATTTTGATTAATCTCATTTCTGATCCGATTAAAAACAGGTCATCCATGCTGAGACTAAAGTATTTATGAGAGACAAATTTCTTATAACCCGACCTCAAAGAATTGTCAAGATTCAAATTCAAGATATCTAGGTTTACAGTTCGTCAT